ATCGGAGAAGTCCAATGGGCTGGTCTTGCAGAGTGGCAGCAGTATCGGCAAACTGTTTTGTGGATGAACTTGCAATCGCCCATTCGTCCTGGGAAAGGGGGCCTGAGCAGCTTGACTTTGGCTGAGTGACATATGTTGCTGAAACAAATTCCCCCATTTCGTGCATAGAAACTCCCACGGACTTTCGCATGTTGATACTTGTCTGCGAGACGAATTTCGTGGTATGGGAGTCGGCAACGATCTTACTCAGAGCCCGGACTATGAATTGGTGAAGTGTGCCAGTCAATTTAGCGTCATGCCGCCTTGCCTCTTGGACGGCCTTCTCCACAAGTTGGGCTTCTACGAGACGGACAGCAACTTTGGTCCGGGAAGCTTCTGGGTGACCTGGATCGAAGAAAGCAGGAGAGCCTGTCCAGGTGTTGTCATCGAGTGTGGAAACTTGAGCCTTGACTCCTAGCAAGTTCGCAAGGAAGCTGGGAATGAGAGTAGCGATCAAAGGCCCCAGTAGGAAAGACCAGGATATGGGAAGCCGTTGAGGGGTGTCGAAAGGAGGCGGCAATGGCTGCAGTGATGACGCAACGGTTGACGCCTGCAATTGCTCAACTGTCGACGGCATTCTTACTGCTTCAAGCAGCGAACGATGGAAAGAAACACCGGTCGGCCCATCACCAATGGTGTGTGAGTAGGCGAACGCTATGAAGTATCGCGGTCCGCCGAGAGGCAGCACAATGACCCTCCAAGGGGGGGTTGTATGAGGAAACGGCCGGTCCAGGTTAGATTTCAGTACCTCCTCGATGGTATGCCAGACTTTAGTATCCGCCGAGCTGTTCAGACTCAGTATCTCGATGTGTTGTTCAAGTTTCACAACGGGTGCTCGTCGATAATAAGCTTTCTTGGTATGTCTGTCTACCACAAGCACGCTGAGGAAGGGGTGTTCTCTGATGCAGTGTGCCAAGGGGTTGAAGAGCGGCGAAGGCGAATCCAAGACGAAGCCATCCGCAAACTCATAAGTGGCGCCAATCACGACGGCGTGATAATAGCCGAGGTCCTCGCGACTAATTGTCCGCTGCTCATTCGGGCCTTGGAAGATGAAGGTGTGAGCAGCGATTACAAGCTGTGGCCTTCCGCAGTGACTTACTCGCATGTCTCAGGAAATCCATCTTGGTATCCATGACAGCACACCCAGACTTGCACGTGGTGGAGGCAGAATGCTGTTTTGTGAGGCCAACAATTGCGGCTGTCCCAAAAGCACCATCGGCCATTAAATACATAACACGCAGCGAAATTGCAGAGGCGCAGTCCAGCGGAGAGCCGGAGTCACAGTCGCACCGGCGGCCCAGCAAATACAGGTCGCAAATCATTATCGCTCCACATCTCTAACGTCAGACCAATCAAGAGGCAGAGAAGAGCGGACTATTCAGCTGTACAAGGCTCTGAAGGATTCAAGTTATTAATACTTTGTAGTTATCGATTTGGAACACTTCATAATATCATGCCAAGAATTTTTGTTTCGGAAATTACAGCGTCGCAAAAGTTTCCCTTTAAGCCTCAAAATCTTCCGTCATTAGAGTCGCTGACTCTAACCAACGCTTGGTTGCATACCCACTACGTAGTATTAAGAGTTCTCTCCAAGATGCTACTGTTGGACTTTCTGATGAGAAAAGCTCGTTTACTGCGCGTTCCACGTGCCAAGCCATCGGGGAGAGAGGATATGTAACAGAAAAGAAAAAGGTTTGAATAGGCCCCCATGCAAAACTTGGTTCATTCTATAATACGGTCTTTGAGGTTTATCTTTAATACAGAAGTTTTTACACAAGCATTACGATATGGTTAACTAGTAAAGCTGTTAGCTTGATGCGAATCTTTTGATTCAACACCTAAGCGGTAGACGAGCATGCAAGCTCACACTGGTTCACAGCATAATTACTGAATGTAGTGCGTTGTTTTATCAAATGTGCGGTGCCTTTACTCACTTCGAGAAACAGCAGGCTGGGAAGAGCGAAGCAGAAGACATCATCAGGCTCCTCGTAGAACAGCAAAGTTTGCTGAAGTGTTCTCAAGCTACATATCGACTACCAGCGCTTGGTGAATAGTGGGATTGAACACCTCGCAGAATATTCACGCTGTGGCTGTGGGCCAAGGATCACACTCGGCTTGTTCGAATGGTTGCAACTCATGGGTCTTTTTCAGCGGAGGACCCTTTTTTTTGTTGCGTCTTCTAGTTCTCGTCGCAGACATAGCAAATATAAACACGCACCCTAGTTAAGGACATTTATGGTGTTTTTCTTTGCAATCTTGTTGGTATGGGTTCTTTTCAAGGATAAGATTCTGGGCTCTCGTGTTAATTCTCGCAGTAGTTTCCGTATGTGAGAGGAAGAAAGAGGGTGAAAGAGAGCTGGCGTTGTTGATAGGAAAACCTGAGATACCTGCGTAGGAAAAACGGATCAGCTGACATAATGTCGTGATCCAACTCTAAGAACCAAAGTTAATTTGCTAGTCAGGCAGTCACACTCATCGATTCTAGAGTAGTGCGAAGTGAAGCAAAAGCATTCAAGACACACTATTTGTCGACAGCAGGGAAGATATTATTGCGTTGAACAGCCATGATCCGTTTCGAGTAGACGCAGAACAACCTTACAACCAAATATGTAACGCCCAACAGTCGCATCCCCTCTGATGAAGGTAACCTTAGAGGTGTCATGGTTTACAGCGCGCGGTGGACCGAAACGAGGGAAGAGAAACCCTCATTGGTGTTTCTAAAGTTATATTGACTCGTGCCTGGGAAAACGGTCGAATCTAGACACAGATTGCGCAAGGTGTTGCAGACGTCTGATGTAAAAGGCGGTTAAGCAACGACTAACCAGACTTTGGCAAGAAAAAGTAAAATGAATGAAAGGAACATTGTGCTAGTTCCGAGATGGTTTGTACATGTGAGTAAGTGAGAGGCTAATATTCGGTCTGATCGATGCAGAAACATTGCTGCTCGCAACAAGCTCTCTTCAATATTTGTATACATCAGTTTGGTTGTGATTATGGAGCAGATGTAGACTTCTCTAGATCTCACAGAAGTATGGAACATTATAGACAAACGAGTCGTTATAAAGATCTTGAGCGAGTTGGTCGCAGAAGACGTAATACAAAAGCTATATGGACCCTAGCATTTTACTAATTCAGGCTTTCCGATAAGAACAACGCTACAAAGCAGCAATCTTGCGGATACAGGTGAAGATTCCATTTGGTACACCGATATGATAGGCAACCCTTGCATGGCAACCAATTGCCTGAGCCCTGACTGGAAGGATTTGTTGCAAATTGGTAAACCGCTTGGGAGTCATTTTCAGAGACTTTCACCTCTCTGCCAACAGGGCCCTTCAATTGTGTTAACTCGAGGTCCGTTTTAAAGGGGGGCCGTGTTAGGTACGTCGTTATATGAATCGGAAGATTCGTATGTTCGTTAACCACTAGTAATGCAAGCACGCTTATGCAGCCCGCAGCGGCCCGCAGCCAGGTTCGCTAGTGCGTTCTCAAACATCTACCCAGACTAGCGATATCTGGCAAAAACAACCCGACCTTTGCGTGCATCTCTATCAACTTATGCACGGTGTGTGGCCTTGCCATGGTACTTTGGTATCTAGGCTCAATGATTTGGCCCAACCCGTAGGCATGTAAGATATGCGGGCTTCCTGCAGTCACATCTTGGCGTGCCCTCGGTGAATCACCTAACAAGACGGGATACGATTCAACCCGCGGGTGAAACTCCCATTGACCGCCAAAAGTGTGGCTGTCAACTGCTTTATCTCTACCTGAGCCCCCACGGGATATTTGCTATCCAAGGCCTACAGCAGTGTTGCGGGTATGCATCTTTAATCCGACGCCGCATGTGGCCTTCATTTGAAGATCTTGGTACTAATAGTCAGATATGGTGCCCGTTACATGCGAAAACTGGGAGGTGGATGATCTGCAACGAAAAAGCCGCCAGTGGACGGGTCGACATGTTGTTTGTTGTGTCAGATTCGATAGCATATGAGGCAATTGGAGAAAAGAGCGCGAAGTGCCCCGTACGCGAGCCAATAGCGCTGCAGCGAGGCGGTCACGGAACACGGCGGGCCGCCGCGTTGTATACCCGATCTATCCCACAACTCTCTGTTGGCGGTAACGTGGCCCAGATACAGGGAGGCACATCTGCAGCACAGCCTTACTGTCGCATCATCAGCTGGCAACAATAACCTAAGCTTAGTTACCCCATGCTGCATCCTCTCATCAATATCAAACCGAAAGCACTTAGGTATTGAGGTGGATGAAGGACAGTTCGCCTTGACCACCCGATAACTGCGGCAAGTCGCTCGCAAACAACAAGCTTGCATTCGCAACACAATGAGACCGTCTTCGAGGGGGACTTCCTCTACAGCGCATCATGCTTGTGAGATTTGCAGGCAAGGTTCCCTCCCACTTGGATGAGGACCACTGAAGACGACAACACTAACCGCGCAACATTCCAGAGAACGAAAAGTCCGGTGTGATCGAGGACTGCCAAAATGCAGGTGTGTCGCTATCTCATCAGCATGTGTCCCCGCGTGCAATAAGCCTCGCGCCAACTTCAAGAAGATCATAGGGCTGATTCTTCGCGCTCATCTTGCCATGACATAAAGACGGTGCGATCGTCTTAACCAACCATGCAGCTCAACCAAGCCCACCAACGTCGTACACGAGATGAGCAGCTGCAACAGCTCCAGGAACGCCTCGCCAACACCGAGTCTCAACTAGCCCTCAGTACATCGAGGGGTCCTTCGTTGGTGCGCCCGCAATCGCGGTTAGATGCCGCGGAGCAGGCCGTCTCATTACGGTGGCCAGAGATGCCACGTCCAAACACGCCGAATACGATTTCGTGACGAAATTCCCAGTACCAACTACCACCGGCGACTGCTTCGCACACACAGATAGTCCCGGCTCAGGGATCATCGGCCACTAGCACCCCCGTGAATATTGACAAGTCCAGCAAGATGAGTGCCGCTATCGATCTGCCTACGACTAGCTCATCGCTGCTCGACATTGATCTTTTCACCTCCTTCACCGAAGGCGAAGACACCAATATGACATACGATTGGACAAATCAGCCGTTGGCGGCGCTCGAACCATTGGACAACCTCCTCAACCGCCTCTCACCTCAGTCGTTGTCTCACAGCGGTCCGGAAGAAGATATCTCTGCGGCGGAGTTGAGCACGTTACACAGCCACTACTTTGACTCCTTCTACTTTTCCATTCCATTCCTTAACAGAGATCGGTTCTTGGCAGAATCGACGGGCGGTGGTGGTCCCGCCGTGAGCGCGCTGGTTTACGCCGTGGCCCTCGCCGGTTGCGCGCACTCCTCCAAAGACCCCAACCGACAGTCTACGTGCTACAGTCTAGCGCGCAACTATGCGGAGAAGTGCGAACGAGACGGTGGCTTAAATGACATCAACTTTGTGCAAGCGCTGTTATTTATTGGTCGTTTCTAGGCCATGGATCGGAAATTAGAAAGAAGCTGGCTGACTCTGGGGCGCGCTGCGATACTTTGCAGGCTTCTCCGGATAGGTCGGATGGACGAGGTGGACGAGAGTGAATCTTCACAGGATGACGGAGGACCGAGTGGTCCCCTTTTATGTTTGCCACCTACTAATGATCCCGTCATCTTAGAGGAACGACGGCGAACCTTTTGGGGGCTTTACATCTTGCAGAGTTACGTAACGACAAGGACGGGGTGGCAATGTCAGTTGTGTGACGTGAAGGTATGGCCAAGGTTGTACCAAAATGCGAATTGTGTCAACTGACGTCCTTTTCAGAACTTCCGAATCAACTTGCCTTCACCAGGTCTACTTAGATCCGATCTGGTACCACTCAAGATGCCCTGTCTGTCAAACATACGTACCAATCACGGGCAAGAGATCTCATCCTACGCAGGCTGCGTCCTAATGGTAGACCTAGCACTACGCTGCTTCGACCACGGACAACAACGCGCGATGGCCGGATTCTGGGACGGCTACTGCGCTTTAGTCAAGGCCACAGACGAGCTCTTCGGCATGCTCAAGCGGCACCTCAACGCCACCTCAATCCGCGAGGATCCCGTGGCCTTTAGCCTGTACCTCAACCTGCGCGCAACAGAGATCTTTTCGCACGAGTCGGCCATCAAGAAGAGCGAGGAACAGGGGCTGCCGCCGCTCATGACGACCGAAAGCCAACGACGCGCCACCGCCGCGGCGTTCCAAATCTCCAGCGCGGTACGGCTCAACTTGCCGTCGCCGTGGAAGGCGAACAGCAACATTATTACATTGCAGGCCATCTTTACTGCTTGGCCCCTCACCATGGCTCTCAAGGCATTGTATCGAGAGCTAGTTCATGGTGGAAACCGCGAGACGGTGAACGGGGTAGTGGCTTCGTCGAGGTTGCTTTTCGCGGCTCTAGACCATATTGAGGAGTCTGGCGGACACTGGCACCAGTGTGTATCTCACGTTGAGGCAAAACTGCAGGAGTGGGATGAAAAGAATGGTTTTGATTCTTTGGCACTGTGAAGGCACCGACCGCCGACTCGAAGGGCACATTTTAGAACGAGTTGTTAGGTGGGCATCTCAAAATGTCAGACAAGAGCGAACTGACGCCCTTGGACCAGCTCTCCGGCTCGGACACGGCTTGTTTTATGGCCACGTTCACGGCAGATTTCCAGCAAATGTCATTCAAAGAGCCCTCGTTCCGTCACAGTCTCGCAGCCACCGGCATAGATCCTGGCCTTTTGAGCAGCAGAGTTAGCCACGTCTTTGACCTTCGCGGCCCCAGCATCGTCGTCAACACGGCCTGTTCCTCATGCGTCTACGCTCTGCAAGAACGCACGCAATGCTCTACGGACGCACGAGTGTTGTGCAGCTGTCGTCGGTGGCAGTAATCTCATCTTGACTGTTGACCAGCACATGACTACTGCCAAGCTGGGCGTGGTCTCGCCGACATCAACGTGCCACACCTTCAACAGCTACGCGAACGGGTACGGGCGTGCTGAAGGTGTCGGAGCTATTTACCTGAAGCGTCTGAGCGATGCAAATAGGGATGGCGACCCAATCCGCAGCGTTATCCGCTCGAACGCAACGAATAATAAAGGCGTTGATGTTGAACCTGGACGGAGGAACTTTGGGCGTCTGGCGACTGCGATTCTCCATTATCAATTTCCAAAAGTCGGACGGCTAGCTGACATCGCCGGGGGGGCGGCATCCTGATTCCTATGTGTCAGCGGGAACTTGACCTTGACCAGGGCATGCAGAAGAGCTCACCCATTCCGACGATTGCAATTGGTCCAAGCTGCTGGCTCAGGAGCAGTTCGGAGGATGAACTGGCCGCGTACTCATCATCGCTGACGATGCGCTGATGGGCTCCTTGGGTGTCGAACTCGGGAGCTGAATCCGAGTTGTTCGAGGATGTTTCGTGGAAATGCGCGGCATTGTTTCCATTGTCTATTGGTAGGATAAGTGTATGGCTATCTGGAAATTCTCCAGATTATAGTCTAAAGATGGGCGATAGGAAACCATATAATCTCCTGAATTTATATACTGCCTTGAACTACACCGGACCTGCTCGACGTCCGACCGTACTCACAAGGTTGTCACTATCAATGGGGCATTTCGGTAAGTCAAGCTTGTTATTATCTACCTGAGTCTCCTGCACACCCCAAATCCGCTTTACAAGATTATGATCGCGACCAGACTGCCCTTCATTCATCCTGCTACATCTGCGTATCATGTAAAGCAAAAAAATTGGCGCGGTGTATTCCCAGAAGTTGCCCAGATGCTGCCTCAACACCAACTGCGGCGGTTGGAACTTTTTGAGCGGGTAGCCCGTGGGGGCTGATAGGAGTCCTTCGCCGTTGGCAAATATGCGGCGCTGGAACGGCCGATCCGTTCCTTCGGAGTGCGGAACCGTTGCCCGAGGAAGGGTTAGCCGGGTGAGACCGAGTCTACATCGGGATCGAACTTGACAATGGTGGCCTATCATACTACCCTGGCTCCCTACTAGTAAGGCAGGGAAAGAAGCCACAGAAAATATCACAAATCTCCTGTCTTCTGTCATTCTCGCCTCCTAGTCAGTTTCTATCCTTTCATTGCAGCTGTACAGGATCACGCAGTTAACCTCCTAACTTCCTTAATATGGCAACAAAGGGCTAAGACAATGAGGTATTCGATGTTATCGTCGTTGGTGCCGGCGAGGGCATCATTTCAAAGATCTCTGTTTTGGCCTCGCTAACAGTCTACTCAGGGTGGTATGGACTAATGGCGGCTCGCACATACCCGGAGCTGGCTCCCGGGACCAATCTCCTCATTATCGATGACAGCGGCACAGTTGACGGCGCCCGGTCCAAAGAGCGGATTCATCCAAGTCTCTTTGCTCAGATCAGCCATCCAAAATTTGAATACTCGTTCTACCCGATGTCCAAAGACGATATCTCGCCGGATGGGTTTGTTTCCGGGAAGACAATCCACAACTACCTTGACAAATTCGTCGGAGATCATAATCTTCTGCCACGCCTTCGCCTCAAGAACCCGTGTGAACAGGGTCGCGAGAAGGCCAGCCGGCTCGGAAGGATGGATTCTCGACATCAAAGATGAAAATTCTCTGGAATGCAACAAAATCATCTACGCTACAGGCGTCAACTCTAGCCCTATTATTCCGAAATGGCCCAGATAAAACTTCCAGAAGCCCGTAATCCACTCCCTTGAGCCCGGAACACATTAAGAGTACATCACCAATAGTGTGCAAAGAGCCACCGTCGTTGGCCGCTCCAAGTCATCCTACGACGCCGTATACCACCTGCTATGGGAGGGAAAGACGGTCGACTGGGTCATGCATGACGGTTTATCCGGCCCATTCAGTCTTTACGCCCCAACATTTATGGGCCTGTGGAATATTGCTGACCATATCTCGACTCGCTTCGCCTCGAGCTTCAGTCCATGCATCATGGAGACTTCTAAATTCTGTTACAACTTCTTCCAACGTAACGCCATGGGTCGGGTTTTAACGAATGTCTACTGGAGAACCGCCAACTACCTGTCCGTATCACACGCAGGATACTGGAAGACTCCGAATGCAGAGAAGCTGCGGCCAAGACCATATAGCGATGGGTGAGTATCACATTATCAAGACCTCGGGCCATGCTGACTGGCCTGTAATTTAGAGTATGCTGGGGAAGTGGCGGTATTAGCATTGCCACGGCCCCTGACTTTTGGAAGGTCTTCCATGGAGGCGATGTCACGATTCATTCGACGGAAATCGAGTCTCTCTCACATCAAGACGTTGTCAACTTGAAGAACGGCTACTCTGTGGCAACTGACATAGTGATTCATTGTACTGGGTTCGATAAAGGCTACGACAGTTTTGATCCCGAGCTCCGCGAGGAGCTAGGTCTACAGGACAACACCAAGACGTTCTCACGGTGGACGAAAAGGCTGAGAAGACCGTCGACGAGCTCCTGCCGTATCTCAAAACTGCTCCAGAACAGTCCGGTGATGAAGAAACCAGCAGAAGAGCGGAGCAGGGCTCCAACAGATATTTTCGCCGTTTGGTAATGCCCGAACTGGCGGCACGGGGTGATCGGTCGATACTCTCTCCTGAGCATATTCACTCGGCGTTTACACCACTCGCGGCACAGCTCCAAGCGCTTTGGGGAGTTTCGTGGATGCTTGGGTGGCGCGACCTCCCGCCCAGAGAGGAACTGGAGTTTGAAGCTGCGACTTTCAATGCGTGGACGAGGAAGAGGTACCTCGAGCAGCGCAAGAAACACTCGTATTTCATATACGACTACATCGCGGTGAGTGAACAGCTCTTTTCGGGTATTTTAGGTATCTTGGGGCTGAAATTATGGTGTTTAGTAAATTGACACGCTAATGATAGATCTAGGCCTGAATCCCTTCCGTAAGAGCAGCGTCTTCGAGGAGTGGTTTGTCAGGTACAAGCCAAGCGACTATTCCACCATTCTGGACGAGTACCGAATCATTCAGCAGGAGCAATTGAAACAGAAAGGGACGCATGGGAGCGCGAAGAAGCCAGCCAACGGGACTGCGAAAGCAAACAGGCATTCGATATTTGCTTGAAGAGGGGTGGCTGTTGAACTCTGAAGCCTAGATCACATATTTAGAAAGAAAGATGAAGTCTGTAGTATAGAGGTATTGGCCACCCTGTGTGATTATGTACCCGCGCTTTCCGCGGTCCCTCTAAAATTTAATTCCTGCCAAAGGGAAACCAGCCAAAACATCTTGGAAATCATGAACCAAACGCGCCGTCTGCCCGAGGCACCTGTGACGCCATGTAAAGTCACAACATGTGTGTTTGCTAGCATGACATCCGATATGATTTACTACCTAGGTAGTTGAATCTTTTGAGGCGCTTAGGAAACCGGTAACCTGAAAGAACATGCCGTCCAGCGTCGATTCACCACGGCCGATCACCGTCAAACATGGCATCCAGCCAGCCCTTCTGACCAACCGGGAGCCTTCCTCGGTGTAAAGCGGACTAGCCTCACGGGTGGATCTTGGATGAGCGAATGAAGAATCGCTGTCGGTCGAAACGGGCCTGATGGTCCGTGCAAGAGACCCATTCCATAGGGTGGGTCTCTTGCCGTCCGTCTCCGTCCCGCGTCCGTCCTCCGTATCGTGCACCTCTCGGGGGTCGTATAGTATTCCTCGAAATCTGCAAATTCACCCTCCTTTTTACTGAGCCTCCTACGCCTGCACTCTACACTTTCACTCTACTGAGTCATTCCGCACCCCTCGAAAGATATGACGCAAATTATACAATCCGTCTACAACGCTCCCTGAAATCCCTGAAGATGAACAACGAGCTCGCGTCGTCGGCCCCGAACGGGGCGCATTCCGAAAAGCATGCAGATGCCACAGAGTTGGGTACTCAAGGATCCCCCGGCGACCTTGGAAACGGCAACTACGAAGCCACGTCCATTAACAAGACCAGTCCGCGCAACATTCATGGATGGAAGGTGAGTGACCCCCCTTCCTGACGGGCGCTCATCCTGGCGCAATGGTATTACCCAAGCTGACACGCCGTGGTTTTTTTCGTCCAGTGGGCCATCGCCTACGCTGCCATGCTCTCCACGACTCTCCTCTTCGCTCTCGACAACACCATCGTCGCCAATATCCAGCCGGCCATTGTCAATGACTTTGGACACCTCGAGCTTCTGTCATGGATTGGCACTGGCTTCGCCCTCGGCACCATGTTCATCCTTCTCTGGGGCAAATTATACGGCGTGTTCAACATCAAGTGGGTCTACATCTTCAACATCTTCCTATTTGAGGCTGGTAGCGTGATCTGCGGTGCGGCCCCCAACATTGAGGCCCTCGTCATTGGCCGTGTCATTGCCGGTGTCGGTGGCTCGGGCATGTACTCGGGTACTCTGACCTACGTCTCGGTCCTTTCCAATGACCAGGAGAAGCCTGCCTACCTTGCGGGGAGTACCTTCGTTTGGGGTGTTGGCAGTGTTCTCGGTCCCGTGGTAAGCATGCGGTACCTGTTCCCTGTCTGCACAACTAATTGCTAACCTTTGCTTTCCTAGGTCGGTGGTGCCTTTGCCGCAAGCAGTTCCACCTGGAGATGGGTAAGCTCCTCGATGAATTATCCAGTCTGAACAGTGCTGACCAACCTGCAGGGATTCTACATCAACCTGCCCGTTGGCGCTGCTTTCGCGCCAGTCTATTTCCTACTCTTTCCAAGCGTCGACCCTCACCCCTCCAAGACCCTCACAGAGAAATTCCGTCTGATGGACTGGGTCAACGCCGTCATTTTCCTCGCCGGGTCTTCTTGTCTGACTGTCGTGCTCACCTTCGGCGGAGTCGTCTACCCTTTCAACTCCGGAACCATCATCGCGTTGTGGACCGTCACGGGTGTTTTACTAGTCGCCTTCTTCGTCATGCTCAAGTTGCATCCGCTAGTGACCCAGGAGAATCGACTATACCCTCTGCACTTCTTCAAGAAGCCGACCTTGATCAACATGCAGCTTCAAGTCTTCTTGTCGTCTGGCATCATTCTGGTACGCTGCCCTAGGCCTCATTCATGGGCATGATGCTGACAGTGCCTAGGCGATGACATACTACATCCCGCTCTACTTTCAGTTCGTCAAGGTACTTTCAAAGACACGAGTTCTTTTCTTTCAAGTGCTAATTCTCGTTCTGTCAGGACGATGGACCTCTCCAGGCTGGTGTTCGTCTACTTCCATTGATCATGTTCATGGTCGTCGCGTCCATGGCCAACGGCTTCTTGATGCCAAGATATGGTCTGATCCCTGCCTGGTACATCGGAGGCAGCTGTCTTGCAGTGGTTGGAACCGCTTTAATGTGTGAGTTATACGTAAATTTCGGTCTTTACTGCTAATAACCTTGGCGGCGCAATCAGATCCTGAAAGTAGTCATGTCCCTAACTTCCCTTGCAGACACCGTAAATGATACCACATCGAATGCGAAAATCTACGGTTACAACATTCTCGTCGGAACTGGCGCTGGTTGCTACATCGTAGCCGGATTCGCCATCGCCCAATCTCTAGTCCCGGTTCACGACATCGCCAACGCTGTGGGAGCCATGACGATCTGTACGTTCCACAAACTTTGTTTCCTCGGTCAAACAGACAGCTGAAAACCCGCATAACAAACAGCTCAGGATCTCGGCATCGTTCTCTTCCTCACCATCAGCGGTAGTCTCTTCCACAACGTGGCCGTCGACAAGGTCGGCAGGGCGCTCACAGGCGTGTCTACCACCGAGATTGGCAACCTCATCGCGGGATCTAGCAGCAACGCATTTCAGGCCCTCACAGACGTAGAGAAAGCCCTTGTAACCCCCGAGATTGCAAGTGCCATGACAAGTATCTGGGCCTTTTTCTTGGCGGCTGCTGCTTTGAGTGTGGTATGGTCCGTACAGCTGCTGGTAAGTTGTCCTAAAGTATCCCTCAGTTTGTTGCATTGTTTATTGATGCATGCGGCAGAAAGCTAAGCTCGGCGGCGGCAAGGAGTCGGAAGCACTAGTCGCGGCATAAGATAAACCCATGATCACAGCGCGTCTGGGAAGAGGCCAGGGTAGCTACTTAGCGAAACCTTCAATGATGTGAAGACCCGAGGGCTATCTTGCTAGTTTGTTAGACAAAGCAACTATCCTGACATCTGGGACAACTCCAAAAGTTATTTGTGTAAGGTCCAGAAGGTCAACGCGAATAAAACGTATAAACGATCATCAAATATCTCAAGGCCATAAATTGTATTCCTCATATGTAAGTTCAACGAAATGCTTGAGAAGCTTACCCGTAGCTTTATCCGCTTCGTTCTGCAGGGTTCATTTGCGGTCTTCGGGTAACAAATATGGGCATCAAAATTGGGTTTATTATCCTAATAAATTCATGGAAGTATCAACTGCCAGAAACCCATGCAGCTACCTACTAGATTAACATCTACTCCCACTATGGTTTCATAACTCGAACGCCGGCCATATTCGTTTTATTCTAAAATTCCGAAAGTCACATTCTCTCTCCAAACAATCCGCCACGCCTCCCTCCCAAAGCCCGTTATAGACTGTTTAGAGAAGACAATATGCAAGACCCAGATGGCCGACCACAAAGCAACCAAGGCTGCCAGCAACCGTGGGAAGACTTCCTCAAAGTTACCATTCCAATCACCCCAAGCAAGTCCATTCTTGAGCCATTCATCTCCATTTCCTTGAGCTACCTTCGCCTGCACCTCCCTCTCGTTCTCAGCAGCCAGCGTATCCTGCCACCCTAGCACCCCTCTTCTCTCCTCGAACTTCACATTACCAAGCTTCGGCGCCGTCACACATAGTCCAGCTATGTTTTTCGCTTACGTGCCCAGGCCCAAGATAGGCGTGAGCCACCGCTGCACGAAATAAACCTTCCACCCGCCATACGCCTGCTGCCTCGTCACATCGCCCCCGACCTTCACAATCGTCCAGGCACGGTCGACGCGGGCGTTTTGATATTTGTTCCAAATCGCATCGCGCAGCTCAACGTCGCTCGGTTTCTTGTTGGGATGCGCGACCAGGGGGGCGTGGATAGTGTTGGCGAGGGTGACGGCGTCCTCCATTGCTGTGTTTGCCGCCGAGAGTCGAGTTCGGAGCAACCTGTGAGATGAAAACTTGTCAGTCTCGGATACGCAAAATCCAATCGTGCACAGAAGGCGAAAACTTACCTTGTAAACAGCATCTCCAGCCAAGACAATCCTCCCAAAGAACCAGTGCTCCAGCACACCCACTTCAAGCAATATCATCTGTGCCTTTAGACGCCGTTTCCACAGCTCTCCAAAAACGACCGTCTCCGTGACAGGGTACTCCGAGATCTTGCTCACAAGTGCCTCCATGTCTGATTCGGCAAATTGCCTGCGTGTGGGCCAGGTACAGTGCTGGTCCTGGGGCAACTTGTTGTGTACGATGATGGAGATCCACTCGGGCTGACAGAGGAGGACAAAGGAAGAGTTTTTTGCCTACCTCGCTTCTCCTCCACTGTGATCATGCCAGGATTCGCCGCGTTCGCCTTGTCCCACATGATTTCGCGGACGTTGGAATGAACACCATCTGCGCCAATCACCACATATCCAACAAATTCTCGGCCATCCGCCAAGATGACTCGATTCTTGGAGTTTTCTTCAGCAATCTCCTCAACGCGCGCCTTCTCATGGACTTTGGACTGATCTGGCAGCTGTTCATACAAAGTTCACAAGAACACCTGCCGATGCAGGGTTCTGGTATCATATCCGGCGCTGAGTTTCGGAATCAGCATGCACTCTTGTCACCGCAACATACAACTCATGATGGAACTAAGGATTCGGGAGACGAGAGCCACTTACAGTTTCCTGACGACACCGAAAAATTCATCTGAGGCAAAGGTTTTGTCTGAAGGGTCGCGGCACTACGCTCCGCCCATGACATCGCACGTCGCCAGCACGGCATCGAAGCAGCCAAACTGGTGCAGGATTCTGCACCCATGTGGCTGTGACGTGATTGTGGTTCCGAAGTTGGGAGCAACTATGCCCTTATCCAAGAGGGCATAGTCAATGTTTGCCAATACGAGGCAGTGAGCCAGCGTGAGACCCGTAACATCCCCGCCAACAATGCTGACTTTGAAGGATGATGAGTCGTCCGTCATAGTCTATTGATAAGAAAGTATTTGCAACGTGATGAGAGAGGACTGGAATGAAGTGTTGCGGCAAACCTGGCGGTCTTTTGAGTCGTTGGATTTTACCACTGAGGGTGCAATCGGCCTTATCCCCGTTCCGCACGGCGGACGGGGTGGAACCGCGAAGCAGCCAATGAAGAAGAAAAAGCGGCCGTTCGGCCCCGTTCCTTGGCGACTGACGACCGGTGGAACCGGGACGGGTTACCTCATCCAGTGTCGGCCGTCGCGGTGAAGCTCAGTCTACATGGAAGACAGCGAGATCGCCATGCTCGTATCAATTCCGCGTCCCCCAAGTCAAATACCCAAGCAGAACGAGGTCACAATTAGCAATTCCCATCCCAAGGCCTCGTGAATACTCTAACCCACCTGCGTTCATCATGTTTGAAACCTCCAAGACGCAGCTCTTCTACCTCAGCGCCCTAGGAGTATGGGGTCTCCGATTCCTTATTGAAGAAAGGGATACAGTCTGACGATTATGCCGTACTGCTGGAGAATCTTCACCTGTTTTCGCAGTGAGATTGGATCGTTGTCTGCCTCACAACCGTAGTGTTTGCGCATCTACTTCTCTCGCGTAAGGATGGCGTCGAAAAGAAGAAGGCAAAAGTGATAAGCTCGCCAAACGAGTTTCAGGAGCTGGTCGATCTTACCGCAGCTACGGCGGTCCTAGGACCAGGGGCTGCGGAATCATTTGCGTTGGCTGTTCTTGAGGCTAGGATATGATCCACGGTCACTGCCTTTGTCATTTGACCGTTTAGGTTGCCGATTCTCGACGCTGGATTAGATTATTTTAGCTACCACTTGGTCACATGAATGCAATACAGCAAAAGACTGCATGAATAACAGGTAGATCTCAAGCTACTGATTCACCCTGAAACTCCCGGAAAATTGTAAGAAGTTTAGTTCTTTTAGCTTGAAGTACGGGATAAGGAAGCCACTGAAGGCGAAGAGTGTTCTACTGTAATATCTTGATTCGGTGCGGGAGCGTATCGCAATATTATCGAGCTCCAATTAATACATCTAAACATCCGAACTTAAGAAGATTGTTTATCCTCGAGATCTCATTACCTCTGCTTCCTTCTCTGACATGTCATAGACTTTGTAGTACTTAAGCCTTCACTAAAGTCAAAAGTAACTTAGGCTATAACGTACAAGGCTTTTAGAACTATAGCAGTTAGTTTAATCAACTAAAGCTATTACTAATACGTTAGTCGCCGCTTGGCACATGGAATTCACAGGAACTCGCATTCCCATGGTCGTCCTAACCATGACTTTACAACTTGTTTGTGCTATTATTTTCATCATGCCTAACATGCATTTTGCCAGAACACTCTTTGTCTTTTATATCTGGGGCATTCAATGTATGGTCAACCTCCTCATTTTCAGTTGGGCAAGTATCCTCTTGCAGAGAAGCGGTGACGACGCAGTACGGAGCGTTACAGTCTACTGCATGAACATTGACTCTATGACTCTCTACACAATTTGCGGCATCGTCTTCTACTTGGCCGATGAAGCTTCGCACTGGCGAAAAGGATGCATAGTCATGATCGTCTCTTGCTTTGTCATGCTCGATAATATGTGGACGGTGTGGACGGTGAGATTTTCATGGGGCGTGTGAGAAACCCGAGAGCAAATATGCTGAAATAATTACAGCTCGATAAGCAAACACTGCAAAAGTTTGTTCGACCTTCCAAACAGGATCCCGAAGCCAGGGTTGCTGTGTGTGAGAAGGAACCTGGCATTGAGAGCCAAGACGGTTGTGATGGACAGAAGAACGTGGCTGCGGAGAAAGTTGTTGCAACCTGACGCAGCAACGGTTGATCTACGGAAACACCCCCCCCACCCCCCCCCCCCCCCCCACCATGTAAAGCAACGACATCAAAATCCTGAGGGACATTCACGCGGAGGTGTTGAACGCAATGGGATATGGGATATACCATCGTTCGGCCTCGAGGGTAGCTACTGATGATGGTTCGGAGGGTGAGCAACCTAGTGCTCGAAGACGCAATACCTTGGTCAAAGTTCTGACACAGTGACAAACCATCCAGCAATACATGAACGAGCAGAGTTACTTATCGGAGGGTTTGGTTGTGCATGGTTGGTACGATGGGCTGGCTGGCGCATGATGGACGGGGTCGCGACCGTTCACTATCCCGACCCATTGTGGGTGATGAGATTGCGGAGACGTCTCCGCTCCACGAGTCTCAATCGGAATATCGATGATGGCGTTTCACTTTGCGATAACCAACACCAACGGTGCAACCGCTTCCCGATGAATGATTCAGAGTAGTTGTGGCAGGATTTAACCTTAAAAAACCAAAAAAAGCCAGACAAGGCTACCTTGTATCACGGTTCACAGAGTGGAGAGAGTCAACTCGAGGCTGTTGATCTTGTGGGGACGTGAGACGCACTTAAATGCGTGCCAAGTAATCCAAGCTAGCCTTATGCTCAATGGAATTTCGGGCATTTCGAGAGGGAACTTCTGAGCGATTGTGGATGATCGAGGCCGATGCATGAGACCCGGCTCGGCTCGAGGGAGCTCTCACTCCCCCACCTAAGGCGTCGTTAATGAAAAACATTGATCCATGTCACGTGACAACGAGCAGAGGAGGAATAGGAGAACACGGGACGGAGACGACACAGGAAGGTGTGACGGGTTATTAGCCGTTGGCGGACTTGGCCGAGATGGGCAAACTCGGAAACCCAATCAGAGAGAAGTCTTGGTAGCAAAGTGGACGGCGTCTAACCGCCATTGACGTGATTGGGGGAAATCCCTGGGCTCATGACCGAGAGTGGGTTCATTCTGGATACGTACCTCGTTTAGAGAGGGGAGAAATGGAGAAAGACGCTTCCAGACCGTCATGCCATGCCCATGTTGATCTGTGACCAAGGCAGACAGAGGAACAGAGGGCCGACTGCTCCCAGGCTGGGTGACAGCACAACAGGGCGGAGAGAACCGCAGCAGAGTGAGGAATTTCCCTGCGTTCCCGCTCGTTGCGTGCATTTGCCCGCTGCCTGGCCCCCTTGTTCGAAGTCCTTCGAATCCACACCACCACCCCCCGACACGTCCATGTGTCCGTCCACCGCTCCAGTCCGGTCCCAGTCCAGTCCCAGTCCAGTCAAGTACAGTTCCAGTCCTGGACAAATGGCTCAGAGAGCAGGCGAGCGAGGCGAGACGCGACACGGCCTAGGCGAGAGAGAGAGAGGAGCCAAGTGGGCGCTTAGCTTACCTAGCCAACTAGCTTTATTACCTCCTTGGTGTACAGTAATAATTATTGTTGTGTTGCTTTGCTTTTGCTTGGAAGAGGCTGAAGGCTGGAGCCGCCTCCTCCACGTGTCAAAAGTCATCCCGTCTCGTCTCCGCCCCCTTGGGTTTCCCCTTACTCGCCCGCTCGCGCACCCGGCGGAAGTGTGCAGTGCAGAGTGTGGACGTGGACTGTTGGAACTGGAAAGTGAGACACGATGCGGATGCCCGCCAACGCGAACGCCGTCGCCGTCACCGTCGCAGCCGACAACCGGCCGGCCGCCGCCACGGCTGCTGCTGCTACCGAGACTACTCCTCCTCCCGCTCCCGCTTCTGCCCCCGAGACTCATCGGCCTGCTTCCGCCGCCTCTGCTGCCGTCGCTGCTGCTCTTCCTCCTCTTCCGCTGGCCCCCTCCTCCATGCCGTTGGCGTTGTCTCGCGCGTCGCGCCATGACGCCGCGCTTGTTGGCGGCCGCCTCGAACCTTATTCCTTCGCCTCCCATCATCCTCCGCCGCCGCCAACCTACTACCGTCGGTTGGCCGCGGCTCCAGGCCCGGGTCCGGGTCCAGGTCCAGCTTCAGCTCCAACGCCAACTCCAGTTGCTCCAGCTGCTATCACGTCCTCCGCCGCCCGTCATGGCACGTTCGGGTTCCCTCCGTCGCCCTCACCAACCCCCTCACACCCCAACAGCTTCAACAGCCTCAGCAGCCATGATAGGAACCACAGCAGTTCAAACTTCACCAGTACTGGCAACAGCCAAGTCACGTCAGCACCGCGTTCCGACACTTCCAAGCCCGGCAGGTGTTCAGTCATGGCCCTGCAGAACGTCTTGTGCGACCCGGACGACGACGTAGACATGACCTCGTCGCGCTCCAGTCATCCGCCCACGCCGCCTCACCTTGATGCACTCAACCCTCCCGTCACACACTCTGCTCCCGTTTCTCCAGCTTCGGCTCCGCTCGAAACATCTGCATTTGTGCCGCGCCCAAATCCTTCTCATGTGGTCATGACCACCCGGCCCCAGTTGCACACTCCTCACATCCAGCACACGGAACCTGGCTGCAAGACATGTCAGATCCGCAAGATGCCCTGTGACGAGGGGCGCCCCTCATGTGAGTCTCGCTCCGCCGAATTACTCGCGTCTACGTTCTGAACTATAACCAACCTGGCCTCCGTGTACTGACCAACCGAACAGGTCAAAACTGCTTGCGCATGGGCATCCATTGCTTGGGCTACTTCACTCCGAGTCATGCGAACGCCCAGCAGGTCTCGGACCGTTCCGTACCTAGCGTTAGTGCCAACGCCAAACGCCAGGACCAAGAAGAGTATCTCTTCTTTCTCCTCGACCACTACCGGCACACCAAGCGCCACTGCATGTGGGAGCTCATCACTCTTGATTTTAACGAGCACTTCTCCTGTAATATGCGTAAAGAGGCCCTACAGATGATTAAGCGTCGACGTTTCAAGGACAAAGAGTGAGTTGCAGCGCTTCATCCCCTCCTTACTGGTATAAACTGGGCTAACTTGCCCGCCAGCACTCGGGAGGCTTCGCCTAATGATGCCTCGAGCAGCACGCAACGCCCCAAGGCCAGGAGAGGACGACGGCCGCGATCGAGCGCCCCTTCCCTCCAGCCAATGCCGCAGGAGGCCGACAACGAATCCAGCACAGGATGAGACTAGGGTGTTCTACCTCTACCTTAACTCACCTGCCACAAAAGCGGTACCCAGACGGCGATCGGCTCGTGGCCCGTCTATTGGCCCACGGTTCAGAACAGCCAACCCAGCAGTAGTCTGGCATACGTCCATTGGCTCTAGATTCGCACACTAGACGGCGGCATTTCGGGTGGATCATCTGGGAAAGGGCTTTTGATCTTCCAACTTGCACCTCCGTCTTGAGAGAAGGGCAGGGCCGGCCAAACTAGCTCTTTCGAATATCAGTGGCAAAGATCGCTGGTCGTCCTGTTGAGTCTCAAGGGGGCCGGCACTCGTATCCTTATCAGACATTAGAGCGGCAATACGCCATGAACGTCCAGCCGAGCCGAACTGGAGAGGGCAGATGCCTGATGAGCTTCGATGGGTGTACCAGCAGGGACGTTAGGTCGGCAGTGTCCTGTAACCATGGCATCGGGGAAAAGTCATCTAGCCCAGGACCTCATCCTCTCGAGGCGACGATGACCTCCCCTGCGATGCAACCCAGAAGTCCGACAAGCTGGGATTGGCCTGGCCGATGATACCCTAGGCTCGGTCTTCATCGCTAGCTCTGGCTTGAACCTCGTCTGATATCTCAGGCCGTATTCAAAACCTCTGGCGGATTGTCATTGTGTTGTCACTTCCTAGAATGATCGCGTCCTCATTCAAACTTACAAGAACACTTCTTTTGTTTGGGCCACATGGGACTGCAAGAAGTCACGTGATCAAATCACTGGGTCTGTGCATGTCATTGTTGGTCCAATTTTCTCACGAATGCGGCATGGCAGAGGCCCGCAACCATCCCACTACAAACACCGAAGTGGCATAGCTCATCTGGAATAGAACCAAGCCATACACGCATTGGTGGTACCCATAGATATGTATCTCACGATTGCACATACGCAAGCTAATACAAGGCGATGTGTGACAAGCTCCCTTCGCCTCAACAAACTGCCTCTCCAAGCAAGATTGAGGACGTGGAATGCTTTTTGCTGATGAGGAAGTAAAAACAAGGGGAAGATGAGATGTATTTCTCCAATAAACAATTGCCCTATATCGAGATGCCAGTCGATGCCGATAAAACCGCAATCGGTCGGCTAGTGGCGCAGGACATTTGAGAACAGTCTTTCATTCATTGGCTATGGTGGTAATGCCTAATGGCTAGGCTTCCGACTATGTTTTGTGCATAGATAAGTTTTCGAGAACGCGATGCATGAAACATATTCCCGCTTGAAGTTGAATTATTGATGTGGTTTGCGCCGGCAGATGGTTGTCCTAAGATGAGATATGCTTCGTGTAGGTCACATGCGCCGCACGTAAGAGATACTCGATCACCGCAAGACGGGGCGCACGCGACTGACTTTGTTCAAAAAACAACATGTCTCTCCGTATAAAAGGGTCAAAGCAAAGTCGCAATCGAAAATTGATTCTAACCGTGCTTTAACCGGCCTGATGTCGAAGACGGATCTGGATAAAAGAAGAAAAACAACAAGAGTTGCACCGCCCAGTTGTGGATGGATAAGAAGGTTTGGCACAGCAGACTACTTCAAGGCGCCTTTGGATTGGTTGCTACCAAAGATGACCAAGGCTCGCAATACGTAGCAAGATCTAACAGCGGCTCCCTGCTAGAACGTCTAAATTTGGAAACCCTGTTTGCTTGTGCAGCCGTCCCATCAGCTCATGAGCAGGGATCGACCAACGTGTTTACTTTCAAGACATTCATCCCCCTGGCCCCACCCCTCCATCTGTTACTTCAACCAACAGGTGGCTCCAACAGTCATTAATCTCTCCTGAACTGTCGAATACGAGCGACATGACCATCAGTCGTTTCGCTTTTGTCCTCAGGGAACTTGCCCGAGATGGCAGTCAGCAGACGATAGCTCTTCGTCTGCACCCGATTAAGTGCGTTTAGTTGAGCACCGTAACGGCACACATCGCCAAGGTCCCAAAACCTGGAAAATTCATGATCTGTATCACCTTCTCACTGTTCCACAGTCATTACCCCACGCTTGTCGCCCGTTGTAACTCCAGTTCTATCGACAAGCGCTGCCGAACTAGACCCTGGCGGCCTGGCCAACGCACCACTGAGGATGGGATTTGTCACCCCGAAACCCTCGCAAGGTGTACTTAACACTGTTACCACCAACAGTTCTAGAGATATGCCGGCGTGAAATATCAATCAATGTCACTCATTCACCACCTCTACTTGTTGGACACCATGCCTGCTCAGGGTTGATGACTTGCCCAGTTCGCAAAACTCGCCACACTTGTCTCCAAAAGTCAAGCATACCCGTGCTATTAGGGAGCCCATTCGAACAATTGTTATCTTATCTTCGTTTCTCTCACTACATTCCACTCGCGCTGATAGCTGACGACATATAAATGCGTTCCCGCCTCCTCTGCGCGCCATCCATGACAAACCTACGACACCTGAAACTTTTCGAACAAAATATTCCATGCTCGCGAGCTGGCCGGCTTCAATCTCTGTCGTCAAGTATCATGCTATCAACAGAGAAGCTTGAAATTGCAGAGCCAACTGCAACTCCATACGATCCCATTCGACGGCCTCCACTGTCAGGAGTAACCCAAGTTGGGGAAACCGCTATAGCCACGCAAAGTCAAGATAGGACCATTGCGGCGCCCGAACCTATCTCAACGAAGGTTAAAACCGCCACCGCAGAGTGCATAGAAGCAATGGGTAAAACAAGCCAGAGAAGGTCATCAATGCCCTTGCTGAAGTTAGCCCCTATCCTCGGTCGCTTTGCCGATGTCGACTTCTCGTGATGCACGATCCTTGTGACGACACAATGTTCACCGTTCCTATTCACGCGGTTTCGTGTGCAAATAGGCCGCGAAACTTGACACAAAACATACCCAAGAGAGGAGCTGGAGGCACTGGATTCGCTGATGGATACAATCAGCCCACAGCTAAGCGTGTGCAGAGACGAGCTGCGTTGAGAAAGCGACTGGAGTGGAAATCGACCAAGTCTTCCGAAGAAAAAGGATCATTAGAGAAAGGTTTGGCTTCGCTGCAGGCTTAAAGGCAACAGACAGCCCACAGCATATTCACCAGTTTGATTGAAATCTACTAGAGTCAATCTTACGGGTCTCAGGTCTCATGCATTCTATTTGTGAGACTTTGCGTCTCACAAATCTGGTTCTGAGACAGAATTGGGATTTGAGTCTCTTTTTAAAAAAAAAACTCTTGAAAATACATTGTTTCTCTATGCTCATGTGCAAATGGTCTTGTAACAGAATAAGTTACAAACCAGGCCATACTGATGTTCATATATTTTGCCCCCCAAGCGTGCCTAAAGTAAAGTTTTGCAACCGTGTTGTCGAAGCCGTAGACAAGTCTTCTGCAACCCGCTGCTTTTGCCGGGTAGTGCCACTAAATATGGCGAAATGAGAAAAGTCGACGACCTCATCCGAAAAACAGGCAGGCAAAGTCTTGTTTGACGGGGTTCCTCTGCTGAGATAGGCACCGACCCAATGAGCGCAGCATCTCCGGTCTCTGAGTCGACTCCGAAGCTGGCCGACTCTGCATAGACGTTACCAAACATTGAGATGTCAAACATGTCAATAACCTCTCGTCAGCAAAAGTGACCAGAGAATCTAAGATGAACCCAGTTTGATCAGTAGGCATGCCAGGGTCCAAAGCTTTGGGACTCGTGTTTGTAGCAAAAGCCCACAGTGGGACATAAGGCAGCCAGAGGAGCTGTCATAGCGTTGGTATAGACCACCATGACGTAAAAGTTTTTTAGGGGTGTGTATGATCAATTCATAGTTTACGATTATTGGGACTATAAGATAAGGAACGCAAGTACATCAGGGAGTCGAGTAAAAGGGCGCTTCGGGGGGTCTAAATATACTCGAATCGGCGTGTTCTTCAAACTACCTTCTGAACGGCCTGGGAAAAGTCACTCAGATCAGCGTATCACGATTGAAACTTCCGACTTTCCATCGGAGCACTGACAAATCAAATCGCTGCTTGGGTCAATACCACCGCTCTTGTCGCAAAGTCTCACGGCTGTTGACCAAGCCCATAAACGTTAACTCCAGCAGCAAAATGTTTCCATCTTGGAGGTTTGTTGACATAAACCATCAGTATGTCTATGACAAATGTGTATAAGTTAAGCTGAATGGCTGGCTTCAATATATGTAATAAGCCGAATATCGTGAATGAATGGACCCAACACATATTATGACTTGCCAGCACACTTTATGGCAGCTGTTGCCGAATAACTCGTGGGTCGATATCCGCTACGTTCAATGGTTTATTTCACTGAAGCTACCGGATCTCATGCGGTGATTAACTTTGATGACATGCTTTACCGAACTTTCTAAGCCTATGATAGTTGTAAGGGAGAGGTGCAAGGTAACCGGCAACTACGGACACCAACGCAGCCAGCCAGAAGGCAGGGTCGTCAAGCTGAATATTTTCTCCGGTCAAGTGATAGTCTACGGCATTTTCGGCTGCTTCCATCGTGACCATAGATATTATGCTCATCCCTGCGGCAGTCTTAGCCGCGGCTAGCCAGTTCAGACCATCGCGACCAAACTTGAGGAGAATTGTCTCAAGCAATAACGATGTAGAGAGCCCGCTCGCCACTATCTTCAGTCAATCGAATTGTATTAGGGAGTAATGCAAAGACGAAAAAAGTTTCTTATGGCAAGACTGACTGGAAAGTACCACGATGGTCTCTTTTCCAATCTCAGAATGAAAAGCTTGAAGGTATCACATGGCCGAGAAATCCCCAAGAGTGCAGCCCACAAGGCACCATAGCGTATTGAGGCTTGAGCAGCGCCATGTGGCTTTCGAAGTCCAGAAACCGCGTGATAGTGCTGAGGGAGGAGAGATCTGGTGTGTCTTACTGCAATATGATACCCCCCTGGTCTTTGTTGAGGTTGGTCTGCTTTGCCCAGGAAAATGAATTCCAATTAATTGGGCTGGGAAGTTGAGATACAGACGCGGTGAGTGCGGCCCACATACTAGACGACGCCCAAGGACGAATGCTGTAGGCAACCTCATGACGATGCGAATATGACGCCTCGGTCGAACAGACTGCTGGCTGCGAAATTGTCAATGAAGCTGTTGACTTCCACGAGGATTGGGATGTGTGGAGACGTAGGACGCGTTGATGGTGGCGCTGTGTAATCAGCAGATTACAAAGTTTAATGGTATGTACACGCCATCCGTGTCCTTGCTCCAGCGAAGTGGGCTTGGCCATTTCCTCGCCTTCTCTCACTGACCTGCAATGACTACAAATCCCGTGTTGGAGTCTACCTAGAAATTGGTCTGCGATGCTTTTCTGTGTCCTAGTCTCTGCGATGAGCCACATGGTCAATGTGAATGAGGGGTGAATTATAGATAATTATCCAAAGTGCATTCCAGATTCTTTTTTGTCTTTTCATGAACCCCTGGTTTTCCCCACCGTTTGTGGTTTACCGGCGCCAAGGTTATTGTCTTCCTCTGGTGTAGAACATGAAAACAGCATTGCATTGTCTCCCGCTTGTGGGCCCCATCATCCAATAAACTACATTAACTGATATGTTCTGCCTACATTCCATCTCGAATCATGGCATTGATCAGCTGAACGTGGCGGTTGGCATTTGTCTCACTCCATTCGTTGTCGTAATTCAGTCCGTATGGCCAAACATGCGAGCCTCCACAGTTGATCACCGCACTAGATCCATCCCAAGAACGAAGCAGTGGCAACGCGGTCGCCCAGTCTCCCGCGGCACACTTTCGATCAAATGCGGCGGTTTGGCCGATACCCAAAGTGTGAGAAACCTCGTGGAGGGCAGTCCGCTCATTCATATAAGCGCGATTGGAGCCGAAACGGACGTCACCATTGTAGTTTGCCTCTGCTGTAGGAACACCAGGAGTGTAGTATACACGGAGGTTCTTAGTAGCGCTTCCGAGGCGGGAATGGCGGGCGACAGCAAGGCGCATTGCGGCTTCGATCCTACTGTAGGCATCCGTCTGGTCGGCTGTAGGATTTGCAGCCTTCTGGAGGGTCCATGTGACGGCGCTCTGAGCAGTGGCAACATACGCGACGAGGGTAACAAGGAGTGAGAATTTCATGATCAACGAGAGTTGCGGGTGAGAAGTTGACGGGATGGAGACCAAATATGGCTTTTGATGGCTTGAAAAATGTGCCAGAGAAGAGAGCACCCACAAGACAAAATTCTGGTGGATTGTCGGTCTTCGGCCAGACCATCCAACAATTAGGGGCGGGGAGCAGCCAGGCTTTGTATAAATACCTCGTGCCCATGGTTGTTTTTAGGTCTTAATAGATTTCGCACACTGGAATTGTCTTCGTCGCCGTTTTGAGAAACCAAATTTAGATGTCGTTCCTAGTACATCTTCCGAGTGTGACAATTCGAGAAGTGATTTTCGTCGCTTCCTCCTGATATGCGTGCATGCAGGTCCTCAGAGGCTGTTCATGATAGGCACGGGTCTATTTCTCTGAGATAGCACGTGGTACTATAGCCGTGTTGATGCAACGCTAAATAATACAGATAGTGACTAGGCCGGAGGTGTGTCCATTTATCGCTTTTTATGCGTTACGCTTCCCCGCTTATGCCAAGATCAACTGCCATTCTAGGAGAAAGCCTCCGTCAAATCAATTCAGAACACTGCCGGCAAGCATTTAACCTTATCTCTCACCAACCTGAATAAGTCTGGGCGACATTGAGCAGTTAGGTATTTGTACGGAACGGTCCCACCGAATACTGACACGATGTTGCACTGGTTCATCTCGCATACGGAAGACTGTGTGAGCGAAGAAGGCATGCCCGAGCGATGCCGCCAAGACTGCGCCGTTCGGTAGGAAACTGCCCGAGCTAGTAGCCGGACCACTGATAATTGGTGTAATTTCCATATGTCCAGAAGAAATCCAACAACGAGTCGCGAACCGTGGTCTTCCAAGAATTTTAGTAGTTCGACATGGCCGAGGACGTCCGCAAATCGGTCGATGCGGTTAAGCGAACTAGCAACTCCGAGATCTGTGCCCGCGAGGGCTCATGACAGCTTACTTGAACATAAACGAAAACAGATTTGAGCATACCAATCTCTGAAGATTTGTCTTGCAAATGCCCGGGCAGGTGAATCGAGCCAGCGTGCGTCAACCTCCTGAATATGCACTGTGATCTCGTGCCGCAGTTCGGAGTCGGCCCTTCGTTGTCGGTCGACTATGTTACGAGACGGGTCAATTTCGGATAAGAGACAGCTGCCATCTGTGCAGTGTAACAAGACTTTTAAGTAATATCCAGGTAGTGATTCTATGTTCACCTCGGAAAAGGCTCGCCCGGGAAGCATTTAAAGCGATGCCAAGAGTCCTTAGCCTTCAAAAGCTGTCGCGGGCAATTGTGCAAAGCCAAGCTTCACAGCATTCCAAAATAATACTATCCTCTTCAGAAAGTACTGAGCCTATGTTGTGGATTTTTTTAAAGTTGGGCAGCCGCAAGAGAACAGCACTCTGTTTATATGAGTTGTCAAGTCGTCTGCACTCCCGCGCGGCCTGAACTGAGAAAGTCGATAACAAAAAGCGTCTGAGACCGAGATCAGTTGCTTCTAATCCACGATCATAACAGGAACCATTTGAATCAGATTAGTCCATTGACACATCAACAGATTGAGCGAGCGTCATGGCGGCATTCGATGCTTAGCTTCTCCTATGATGTGCTAAGCAAAGAGTTACAAAGCCATGCGGCAATCCTTGCGACGATCTTGATGGACTATTGACACCTTCGAAAGGGACCAACGTCCATTGTTCATATGTCAAACTTGCAGTCGCTTGAACGCGATCATCCAGGTCGATTTGGCTCGTCGCAAGATACAAAAGTGGTGTTGATCTTACTAGCACGGGGTAAGAAGTAAAGAAGGAAAAAAGAAAACTAGACTTTTGACGATCACAATCAGCGTAAACTCACGACACATTTTCTACTAACTGCGAAGCGGCGTCAGCAAATCATGGTCCAAAAAGACCCTCTTCTATTACTTAACATGTAGCTGATCAGTGTCTGTAACACTATGTTGATCTAACGAGGTTCATCCTGTTTCTGATTCATGGTGCTCACAGGGGTATATTGATAGATCTCACCCACCATCGAAAACACTGAAGAAAGAGCTGATCCGAGTCAGTACCTGCCCGCTATCGCGGCTCGCTGGAGCTACAGCGCCTGGGCACTGTAACGTAGAAGACGTCTAATGTAAGAATCTTACAACTGCTATGCTTGCCCGCCTGTGCAATACAATACCAAGCATGTCTGATGGTGGAGCGACTCCAATCTTATACCGGTACGAGGGGAATATTAATGCTCCATTTAGCAAACACATGGACTGTAACCATCGGAGGCTCCAACTCCATCTAGCGGAGGACTTCGCGATCGAAAATATTGACGGACAGAGCATATTAAAGGATAGTCAAGTCCTCGCAGATCCCACTAGGTAAAGCACTCATCTCTACCTCTTTCCTTAAAGTCATTTTGAGAATACCGTACAAACTCATTGTATATCTCGTACCACTCGTTTTGTTTCCTCGTTCATTAAATCTGTCAAACTGACACGTCGGTTCCGCGATGTTTGTCAACTTTCTCGCCTTCATCACGATTTTGCCGGCTGCCCTGCCCGCGTTCGTAATCCAGTGCTACTGCAAGTATCTTTTGCACTCAAGGTAGATCAAGCTACTAACTCTATGTCTAGACCCAAACGGCCGTTGCGCAAGGTGGTGCTCGCAATTTGGATGCGGTTGCCATGAGAACAATGACAAGCTGGGAGAAGGGCTTACCCGCTCCAAATGCATCACAAAGTTTGAGTTTTTCGGGCGGCACAAGTGTTGAAGTCACAAAGTCTACACACTGTCAGAGATATTGCTGTTGGCTATTGAGTTCGCTTCATATCAAAGATAACAATTATATTCGAATGGAAATGTAATCGTAACTTGGTATAGGACCATGCGTTGGAGACCCCTCCACGTGGGGGAAGTTCCAAAGTCCAAGCAGCAGTCGCCCTGGACCTCATTGTGACTTACTAGATGCTGACCCACTCGTAGCCTGCATGAAGCCGAGTCCGAACCGAGAGAATGACAGCAACGTGAACAGACCTTTGCGCTTTGAGCACGCACAAGAGAGAAGCTACGAATCATCATGTGAAGTGGTTCTGTAGCAAGTCGGAATTGAGAAGGGGTGACGACCAGTCCAGGGGCATGTGAAGAATAATTATCCACATACGTCCCAGTCATCCTCACATCACTGGCCAAACCTGGTCTTCCCCGCGCGCTAGCCACAACGACTTAAGCACCCTGGGTGGCGATCCGGGGTTTTGATCTCAATCTCATTACCGGCACGCATTTATATGTGTGTTATGCGGAAACTCCAAGCCGAGGTCACATTGAAGATCGACTTGTTGTTAAATATTCTGCCGGACCGGCAATTCAGGCTTCCCCGCGAATTGCCTGGCTGCCTTTCCACTTGTTCAAAACAATGACAGGACCTCCAACACTTTTTGAACTTGGTAATTACACCAGTCCAGACGAGACAAGAAATATCCGCACGAAACCATGTTGAATGAGACCCAAGAAGACGCCTACTATTCTTCAATCGATTTAATTGTCCGCAACCCTTATTAAACAATTTTGTCAGCCATGAGATTTGCCTTGTTGCTTCTCTTGGTATGGACTGCTGGTTCGGCACAGGCTCTTTCGTACCCAAAGGAAATTGTCGTTATGGAAGGTCTTTCGGTTGCAACAACTGCTGGCATCGTTACCGGCATTATCAATGACACCGCCCCCAGTGTTCGCCAATGGCTCGGGATTCCGTACGCTGAGCCACCTGTTGGGGCTCTGCGGTTCTCTCCTCCAAAGCCGAAGGGCCCATTCCGGCATCTCACAACAAACTCCTACAAGCCATCCTGTATACAACAATTGAGTAACGCCAGTACTCCTTACACCGAACTCGTTTCCCAATTCCTCATCAATGGGGGGCAGTCCGAAGACTGTCTCTACATCAACATATATGCGCCACTGAATCCAGTTTCCCTGAGGGTTCCTGTGCTTGTCTTTATTCCCGGCGGTGGCTTTACTAGTGGCGGTGCCAACTCGCTGTACAAGATTCCCGACCAGTGGATCCAGAAAACACAGGCACACATTGTTGTTACCATGAATTACCGAGTCAATATTTTCGGGTTTCCTAATGCCAAGAGCGCATCACAGAACGCGGGCCTTCTAGATCAACGTCTTGTCGTTGAATGGACAAGGGATAATATCGCAGCATTTGGCGGCGATGCTTCAAGGATCACACTTTGGGGTCAGTCAGCTGGAGCAATGTCTGTTGGAATGTACGGCTATGCCTGGGTCGAGGACCCAATTGTGTCGGCTTTGATTGCGGACTCGGGTTCAGCCTCTATTCTCTCAGTCAATGACCCCGAGAGCACCACCTTCTCAAAGTTTGCGGGTTTCGTTGGCTGCGGAAACCTCACGGCCAACAAAGAGCTGGATTGTATGCAGCATGTAAATGCCAGCGTCATCCAGCAAATCCTGTCATTTGGGGGTACAGGCGCGAGCTTCCTACCCGCGGTAGATGGCGTTACGGTATTCAGTCATTTTTCGGAGCGTCTCTTGGAAGGTAAATTCGCGAACGTCGTAAGTTCTTGGCTTTCAAGCTGTAGCAACGCAGCCGTGCCGCCGATGAACTGACACTGCATGCATCTCAAGCCATACATGACTGGAGCGAACGCAAATGAAGGAGCGTCATTCGGAACTTACGACCCAGATGGCATGTTACCTGGTCAATACGAGAATGGCCTGCGAATTATAAATTGCCCAGTGGGCACGGAAGTGCAGTAGGTGGATGCAAAGTTTCGCACGAGTTCTTAGGAACTGACTCAACTACTTTGTAGGACGCGGGAAATGGCAGGCTTGACTACGTATTACTATGACTATGCCGGCAACTTTTCAAACATATCGCCGTTGCCATGGTTAGGAGCCATGCATAGCGGTGAGTCAGGGAATAGAGACAGCCCCCCGACCCCCTCCTCTTGCAAGATTCAATTGACTAAACCCAATCCCAGCCGAGTTGCCACTGATTTTTGGGACGCACTTCGAATACCGCGGAAATTCCACTGAATATGAGTGGCAAGTAGCAGACACAATGCAGAGTAAGTTCGTAGTTGTAGATCCTACTTGGATGGAAACTGACAATTTTCGCTCTGCAGGTCTATGGCTTGCGTTTGCATCTAACTCTTCAAAAGACCCGATTGAAGGAAATGGATTTCATTGGCCGTCTTTCAAGCCAGACACTAACACGGTCGTCCATTTCGGCAAAGGGGTGAGGCTGCGCAGCTGGAAGCAACAACCTCGTGGAGTCAACGGTGCGCAGAACTCGATTAGCTTTGGGGCTTCTACTAAGAATGTCGATCAATTTTTGAAGCGGACTTCTATCACACATAGGTAAAGAGACAACAAAGGAAGACATTGTGGTTAGGTAAGAACATTGTCAGCTCGACAATTACACTGGGTCGTATAAGTATCCGAAGTGCGAGACCTCCAAATGTCTGAGTCTAGAAATCCTACGCTCATTCCTCAACTAAGTCACATAGTTATCCAGTCCTCTGCTAAACATCAATTTGCGGTTTATTGTCACATGACCTCGTCCCAAGCTCTATATCTCGACTCTTTGCGGCAATACGTGCAGACCTATCATAGTACAACAATAGTCTACTTTAGAGATCTATGGAGGTAGGAGAGAGAGAGGTCATCTTACATGAGCTTGCCATCTGTAGATGTGTCTGGAAAATATAGAAACTCTTGACTGTTATCGACAGAACGCCACATGCCGTGTTCTAATCGGTCCCTGGGTAACGATTATAACCTCTATGTTTCAGTCCCTAGCGCCATAATCCCTTACTGGCCAAGGGGGCTCAATGAAGGCCTTCGATCCAGCGCAACGGTCGGCAAGTGCTTCTTGTGCTTCAACGCTATTGAATGGCACACAAGGTACTCCCAAGTCTCCATCCAGACCGTCACATATTACTACCGACTGCCCACCACAAGGGCTGGTGATGTTGAAGTTCTTAAAGCGTATGTTTTGGCATAGACCGTCTTCGTTTGTTGAGCAACTCACGCGCGCGACGGCGCGACCACGAGTTCCACTTGAGTAACCTTGGAAGTTCTCAAAGAGAACATTGCTGACCTTCATCTTGGACGGAAACCTGTTACACGTCTCTGCATCGATATTGAAATAGCAAGAGTCGAGAAAAATCGGCCAGTCATCGTTTGCCGAGTAAAAGTTGCGAAAGGTTATGTTATCCACAAAACCCGTTGCTACGTGCTCTCCGGCCCAAACCTTGATTCGGGCTCCGTTGTTACCGTTGAGCATCCAGATGTTTTCTATCACAACATCTTTTACAAAGAGATACTCACCCTCATATTGACCAAGAGAGCCAAGTGACTGTCCGTGGGAGTTGTTGCAATACATTGTATTGACGTGCAGATCGGTATTGTTGGACTTGGGTGAGAAACAGTCGTCATCAGAGTCGACCCACACCCGTTCAATCTTGATGTGCTCCACATTGAGCGAGTTGAAGAAATCTCCGTTTTTGGGCTCGACAGTAGCGTTATTCGATTTGGCCTCAACAATCACGTCTCTATAGGTGATGTACTTGGCTGCGAGGATATGTTACCAATGGCTTTACGTAACCTAATGCACTCAGGACGATCACCTACACTCAACGATGAAATTGTGCCAAACCGGTGAGTCTTTCATGAGGATGCCTTCGAGATGCAAGTTCTCCGCATGCTCAGCGTAGAAGAGAATGGGCCGAAGATACTCATTGTCGGGATCCAAGATCCTATAAAGAAGTCAGTGTAGGCTCGATGCCAATGCCGAACGAAACCAAGAGCTTATCGATTGCTCTGATGTGGTGTTGTGTTGACTTACTCTGCGCCGGAAAACTCGTTCCACCACCTCTGTCCCTGTCCATCCAGAGTACCCTCCCCAAAAATCTTGATGTCCTTTCCACCCCATTTCCAGAACATAAGTGAACGCTGGAATGGGTGGTAGAAAGCGTGCTTTTGCCAGTAGGGAACATCGTTCGTAAACTTGATTGTTCCTTCGAGTCGCACGTGAATGTCGTTCAGAAACGTCAGGTCGAGAGGCTTGCCAATAACAAATGTTTGCCCTTCGGGCAAATAAACGGTGCCACCGTTGTTGGCTTTCTTAATAGTAGCTAAGAGCTCGTCGGAAACATCGTCAAAATCGTCACGAGAAGCCCGAGGTGTGTATGTTCTACGACAGTTGGGTGTCCGTTTTGCGACTGGGTGTTTTTCACGGAATTCCCGCACATTGCGTGGAACACCGGACAAGGTGTCGACAGCCGCTGCCATTGCGCTCGTGGCGACGGTGAGACTGACCAAGAAAATGTAGAGCTTCATGACGCGCTTTTAACAAAGATCCCCGAGATGAGTGGAAACTGGTCGTAGAATACGAGACTGGAACTCGGGAGCGCAAGGAAATTTATAGTCGGCGTATCGAGCCGAGGGCGTTAGGCTTGAACTAAACCCAAATCGTTTCCATGCAACAATTCGTTGCCCAGAATCCCCATTGACAAAGAGTTCAAGTTGGAGACTTCCTGCACTTGTATTGCTCACCGTTAAGATTGAAGCCAAGAGATGTATGAAAGTGGAACCTGAAGCTTAACTGTCTTTTTCCGTGGTGGTGATTGATGGGATATAGCAACGGCCAAGACGGATAAAAGTTTTTATAAGACCCCTGACACTTCAGACTGATAAAAGGTATTTACAGCATAATGACCCCGCGCTGAAATCCCCCGAACTATCAATGCCCAGATTTCTGAGACCCTGATTCCTCTTGATGGTCGGAAATTCGGATACATGCCGAGTTCCCAGGTGTTCAGCTCACCTCAATACCCCTCAGATGACGCGTTTGCCTCGGCGATGAGTCAAGAAGTTCGTGACAATCAGCATTTCATTGTCTCTCGAATAGTGGTCTCTGCGACCCGCACCCTCTTAGCACTCTATGTCATTCAATGCCAATGACAAGTTACTCGGGAATCTTGCTGCCCACAGGCTCTTCAGTCAAGAAGATAATAACCAGAGACGTCTTGAATCAAGAAACGGAATGGTCCTTCTTGTATAACAGCGTACTTAGGCTGGGTTTTATTCCTATTGAAGACATAACTCTGTAGCTCGTTGTTCGATTATCTTTCAGGACTTTTCATGGTAACGACTCATGAATAGCATTTTATTATAACTAGGCTGCCGAAAATTCCACAATCTTATGTAGATCCTAAACATTCTGAAGTCCCTTATGACTGCGAAGTCAACTGCTCATAGCCATTTCGACCGTCGACAGATTTAGTTCGCCGCATCTATACTGCTGGCCTAGCAAAGAATATTGCAAAGTCCATCAGTATAACGGCAATTTATGCCTAGAATACTGATTTCACACTCATAATTCGGAAGCCTGTAGCATCTCTCGAAGTAGTCAAGCATCAAAAAAAGACCTAGGTAGTGTTGGGACAAACTTGACTCGAATATTTGAATGCTTTATCAGCTACTCCAGGGGTTTCAGACAGGGCGATGTTCTCCAACTAGCATAAAAGGGAAAACGTGTGACAATATCAAACTGGGCTACCTGAAGTATTATAGCGTTACTGAGAGAATTTTGGCAGTGGATTGTATGTGATAGTGAATGGCAACATGGCTCCGAGTCTTCAACTGAAAAAAAGAAACCCCCCTCCCCCCCCAAAAAAAAAATTTTTAAAGAGAAAAGAAAAGAAAAGTTACTGGTAGCTCTAGCGATGACCATAAATAATGATTGTGCGCTGGAAGCTGAGATGCCCAAAATCGCTCCTACAGTCTATGACCTGTCAAGGAACTCGTTTCCAGCGATCACTTGGGACTTGAAACTGGCTGTAGTACGCGCGAGAGGAAGTGCGTAGTATTAAAAAGTCAGTGAGATCTAAAAAAAAAATTGCATTTAAAATTGATTGAAAACAACATATATGGCTTCCGAGCTCTTCTATTCTTTATCGCTCTAAACTCCACCTTTATTTTCCTAATGTTAGGATGCCTCTCACCTGACCCAGTTGTGCTTACTGCCTGCCTGCATCTCAGATGTTCCGGTCTATGCCAAAATACGCTGACTACCGATTGGCAAATTCAGGAATTAAGCATCACCGCGATTGGGGCCCTTCATGAATAGTCAACCAGTATACCAGCACCATCGTCTCATTGTCGACCTCATAATAGTTGTCTCTCCAGAACCCTGTCGACTGTTCATAGAAAGGATTACATCGTGAACACAGTCAGGAATTCACATCCTCCCCTCACTGTTATGTATACACACAACAGGCGGTACCAACACGACGTTGAGGGTAACTCTGCACCTAAATCTGGGCTTTGTTCGACGCTTGTACCATGCCTAAGATGTTCCTGCATCGCCATGTTTCAAGTCTCTTTTCAGGACAATCGAGGGCTTTACCGAAATGTTGCGACGCGCAACTACATTAAGCCACCATCGTACGTAACGATAACCAGAGGCACTGACCTTAAATAACCGGGAGGGAGTCGCAAACTGGCTCCCCTGCTGCGGCTAGGTGTGCTTCAACGACAGCGCCCTTTTTCAACAGAAAATGTGTGTAACGGGACGAACTGGCCGACAAGTATGCTTGAAAGGCGGCCTCATTGGTTTTCTAGAACGTCAAAGATTCCCTCGTAGACCACCGGCGGGGCGAACGATGGCGTTTCGCCTTTGAAGTGCCGCTCAAAAGAGTCCAGGGACAAGGTATTTGTCGAAGAGATGGAGGGCGCTCCTAGCGAAGCCGACCTCAGCTCTCGGGGCTCGAGCATACCCAATCCAATCTCCATCGCGCCAGAAGCTGATCGTTCTACGTCAAGCGCCATATCCAACCTTGAGGTGTGTCTCCGCAGCGGCCGGGATCCGGGCCAGTTTGGCGTCTGAGTCAAGTGTTTGGATCCTGATGGTAACCGACGCGTCGGGAATTGGGACGAGCAGGAAGACGGGGAAGACGCAGAGCTAGGGGAAGAGGATCGTGATGCGTTGGAAGATAGATACTCGACCTCGAGTAGTTGAAGCAGGTCCACGACAGTGATGCCTGCTGGGAGACTGAAATCCGGTCTAGGAATGCGTCTGTAGGCAGGGCTTTCCCTCCTGCTCCCATCAGTCGCTAGCTGCACAGCGCCTGCGTTGGCAGCCTTGTCTGTCGACGGCTGAGTTTGCGTTTGATTTCTTTGAAAGCCGATATTGCCAGAATGGATGGGACTCCAATCACCAGACTTCTCGCGGAAGCCAGTGAGCTTTTCTTTGGTAGGTTGGCGGTCCTGGGCCACAGGGGCCGTGCCCGCGCTGCATGTGCGCCTGGGTCCACCACCCACGTTCGCGTCATGACCGTCAAGGGCGTCGCGGCTTCCTAGACGTCCGTGTCGTCCTTGTTGCAGAGAGGGAGCTTTCCGAAAAGCCGTCTGTAGACGAAGTTTTCCTCTTTGTGACTTTGATAGCTGCCGCTGCGGTCCTTGCACAGGGGCTGGCGTACTCGAACCCACGAAGCTGAGGGAGTCGAAGGGGGCTTGCCCTTCCAACGCTGACACCGCCTGGGACACTGGCACGTTGCGATGGCCGGTGTGGTTCATCTCCTGGATGAGGTACTGCAGCTGGGTGTCGTCGAGGTCGGCGAGAACTTCGTACAGAGAGCCCAGAGAAGAGGAGGGCTTGTGCTGCTTGCGATGGGAGTGCTTGGTGCTGGCACCGTTGCCGATTGATGAGGTGCCTTTAAAATCCATGGTCGCCGGTTGCTGAAGACGTGTTGGCTTTGGGTGCGGGTTCGTATTTTGGCTACACGAGTAGAACGCAGAGACAATGGCTCACACAGTTGTCGAGTTCACAATGCCTGCAGGATGACTACTCTGCAGCTTCACTCGTCCGTGGTCCGAAGGTCCGTCCCGATGGGCCGTCACCTGGAGCGCAAAAGGGTGGCGCGGTTCTTCTGGGTTCGGCCTTCAGACTGTGCTGCATGCAGTCTCGACAAACAATGTGGGCTCTGGAGTACTCGACAGTTCAGGTTTTGGCAATGCAGGTGGACAACAAGTTAGATTGTCACGTAGTCAGTCAATCACGACTTGTGAAAGGTTAATCAATCCAATCTTAATCCAGGAGGAACAAAGAAAAGGGGGCCAGATCTAGGCGAGATATGTGGCGCAGACGCTTACTTAATGTGAGTATGTGGCTTAGTCTCGGCACCGCGACCGGTCCACGTGACTCTGGTTTGTCAGCTTCGACGGAGTCGAAGCCGTGCGTGGGGGGAAAGGAGGAAAATCCCGAGTGAAACAGCGTCTGTATAGCATTCAAATCCGGAGTGGTTCGCCAGCGCGAAGGGCTGACATGTTAGGTCTACATTTCTAGGGTGAATAGACGCTGCTCTCTGTTGAATCGACCAAACATCAGTTCTACAAAGACGCCACTAAGGCCCCTGGTGGCCATGCATGCAACCATGACCTGTTACTACGATCCACTGTCGCCACTATGATGCGCGTGGCTGTCGACCTTCACCTCGCAACGACGCTTGCAAGAATTCCCCTGAATTCCTCCGCAATATGCGCCAGCGGTCACCTCTCGGGAGCCGCCTCGCTGACAGGCAGAGGGAAACGTCAAATGGGTACATTGGTGACTCGTCGATCGCTAATTGCCATGAGATGCTAACACTTGAACACGAGTTCCTGGACAAAGTACCCCGTTTCCGTTAGTCAAAGTACTTTTGCGTCTTAGCAAAGTTCATTCCAGCGGCAAAGTGAAACAGCTTGGCTGCTACAACCATGCGGTCCTGCTTCGAGTACTCGACTAGGCGGTCGTAGAACTCGGTAAGCGGTACAACCACGCGCTCGATGCGCTCGCCATCATCCAGGCGCTGCTCTGGCATCTCGTCCTCCTCGCCCAGCTGGACCTCGACCATGACCAACTGCATGTTGGTATTCGTGAGACCCGGGTCGGCAGCTTGCGGCGGGCTCACGCTCATCACGCGACAGTTGTAGCCCGTTTCCTCCTTGAACTCGCGCACCGCAGCCTGTTCGGCGGTCTCCTCGGCATCAATCAGCCCGGCCGGCCACTCTACCGTATACGCGTCCAGTGGTGGACGATATTGGATGACGATCATGGTCGATGGCGGGCGGGAAGGGTGGAGGAGGACGTTGCCCATAGCCACAGCATCGACGCCGGCCTTGCCTCTTGTCTTTCGCGTTGCAACCTCCCACGTGCGCGGCGTGCCGACCTGGTCCACGTAGTCAATCTTTTTGAGGGTGACCCATTTCGCCTCCTCAATAGGGAGGTCTGAGATCTTGGTAATGACCGGCTCTTGAGTCTTGACGGCCATGATGGATGAACTGTGGAAGAGAGCCGGTAAACAGGGATTGGGCAGGCGGAAGAGAGGCTGTAGCAAACGTGGCCGAAGTGAATGAATAGACGGCATGCGCATGCCTCTAATAGACCTCTGATAAGTAGTAAAGCAGAATCGAGGTTCGGCGGAAGAGCGAAGTTGGAACAACTTGAATAGCGCAAGTTCGATGCGTTGAAGAGCTGGAGATGTTGAGACGAGGCGGGGGTTTCGTGTGTGCTTACGTCATCTACAGATCACCGCTTCTTAACGCGGGCCCTAACATCATTGTGGGAGCACCCGAGATGTTCCATCGCCTTCTAAGACAATCCCTTGAGTTTGTATTGTAGCAACATCTGAACCTAGGTCAAGAAAATCTCGAAGTCCTTAGATTGCAATTCACTCAAGGTAAGACCCCAGATATAGGCAATCTCAGATACTGATCTGGTCAACAGAGACGCTTCAGGGCGGCGAGTGTGCTCAAGCCTGCAGTAGTATTAGTTTCTGTGCGTAATTCTACTGATTTACCAGGCCTTGTGTGTTTGATGTTTATATACAATATACCAGGTGAGTTAGTTTCATCGGGTTTGTATTGTGACGTTTGACAATAATGGACTTCGTCCTTGAGATGGCGGTCCACAAGTTGGAGATTGAACCGGTAATTATGGGACGTTGGTTGAATGGTGCTCAAACTTCTCATTGCCATACTGAAGAAAATAATATGACTTTGTCTAGAATTTCTGAATGTTTTCAGATGCACAAGTAAAATTGCATCATTCTCATAACCCGAGCACATTAAACCTCTTCGAAAAAAAGGAGATTTACCGAATCACAATCCAAAAGGCCTCTTTGCCATGGAGAGGCACATATGCGGGATCTCTTTAGCATACATTTCTATTTTTTTACCACAGTTCACACCTAGCCTCTTTCACAGGGCAGTTAAAAGCCTTCTTGAACTCTTGAGTATTGTCTAACCCACCCTTGATGCGTGCGAAACCAGGCGAATGAGCGTCATTGTTGATCAGCCAGACGTCGTATCCAGGAGAGCCGGACACTGTACACCAGCTCTGGGCATACTTAACGAAAAAGAGCTGGTCGTATGTGAAGTTACCGAGACCGGGGAGATCGTAGTCGTTGGCTGTGCCGTCAGCCTGCTGGCGTTTCCACGCTGCAAACGAAGCTGCCAGGCCGCCAGCATCTGCAATATTCTCGCCTAGCGTAGAGTCGCCCTTGACGTGTACACGCGTACCGTTGGGCGCTGCAACGGAGAACTCGCTGTACTGTTTGACGAAGCAACCAGCGCGCTCGGTGAAGGCTTTTTCGCTGCTTTCATCAAACCAGTTGCTAAGAGAACCATTCGGTGCGAACTTATGACCCACGTTATCAAAGCCATGGGTTAGCTCATGGCCGAGAACCGTGCCTAGGCCGCCATAGTTTATGTAAGATGGGTACTCGACATCATAAAGAGGCTGCTGTTGAATTCCTGCAAGGATAGTGATGTCGTTGAGTTGTGGGGAGTAATAGGCGTTGACTACTGTCGGGCTCTCACCCCACATTGCTTTGTCGCTAGGCTTGTTTAGCGATGACCACAACTTAGCAGTATACCAAGCAGCAGAGCTGATTGTGTTGTTGAAAAAGGATTCACCGATTTCAAGATCTCTATAGTAAGCCGCCATGCCCTGTGGGTCGACTGTCTTGGGGGATGCGTCTGGATACCCAATCTTTAGGGCCATAGCGCGGACCTTCTCCTCGGCAACCTTCCGGACTTCATCGGACAACCACGTCTTATCAGCTAGACGGGTAATGAACTCCCTCTGTATCGTGTTCATGAGAGTCGTGGTGAGCTCACGGGCCGCTTCTGAGTAAGCCCTGTCGATAAAAAAGCGACCGAGAATCCACCCCAGCCCATTTGAGGTCTCAATCCATCCAACACCGCCCTCGATTCTGGCAATGCATTGCTGCCAGCGAGCGCCCTGGCCGATGATGTCTGGGTCTAAACCGCTCAAAATTGCCTTCACGTCAGTCAATTTGTGCATGGCCTCGGCCTCAACGTAGGTGGATAATGTGATAGCCGCTTTCCAGACGAAATATCCTTTCAAAGTGTCTGCCGTAGTGTTTGCCAATAGCGCAGACAAATTGCCGAAGTATCCAGGGGCGAAGTTCAGCTCTTCAGGAATATAACCAGGCGGCGAGAGGCTCTTGATCACAAAGTCGTGGCCTAGTTCAGGTGCTACGCTGGTAACATCTGCCAGAGTGAACTTGATAGGTATCTAGGTGACGAATCAGCTTTGTTTTGTCTCTTGTTTTGTCTCGGTCGCAGTAATGATGAAGAATCACGCGGCCCTCCCACATACATCTGCAGTTTCGCTTCTTCTATCCGCATTCAACAATTGATTGGCTTCCTCCTCGAATGCCGTTATCTTCAATGCGAGTTCCTCGGCTTTAACTGTGGTGAGGTTTGCTGGGTGAATCGCCTGGAGCACTAATGCCTGGACGGTTAAATATTTGTTCCTTTTCTCGTGGTCGTCTAAAAGAGATACAACACTGCTTTCGTGAGGACTGACAGCGATTAGTAACCTATTCTGTAGGTTGTTAGTTTGATACACTAGAGGCCGCAGGCCTGTACTGGACGACATCCAAAGCGAGACTGACAGGATTGATAGCGTCTTTTACAGGCTGAATAAACTCGAATGTAGGGATGGAATGCTGAGCGAAGACGAGCATCACTTTTCCTAAGTCATCATCCTTTGTTATCAGACCATCCGATGCCTTCTCTGGAAAAGCTTTGACGATAAGGTCAATAAAGCCAACGAGGGGTTCCAACCCTGCTGTTTCGGCGGCAGTGTAGTTCAAGCAGGCGTTGTATGCGTCAGTCATGAGCTCGAAATTGTTCCGATCAACGGCAATTTGATCTTTAGACAAAGATTCCGTGATGAACCCAGTGTCAGGCCCTGAAGGTTACGGTTCCTCCAAGATATTCTTTAAGACGGCCTCGATCGATTTGCTGCCGAACGTAGATGCCGTTGGCGAGCCCGGCGCTGGCGCGCTTTTAGCCCGAAAGCCATCGCATGCCACTGGTAGTGAAAAGGGTTAGCCAATAGACAACTCGATCACTTCATCAAAGACACCAAAGTATCATCATATAGGAATAGATAAGAGTAGGTCGGATAGCCAAACAACGACAAGAAGATGAGGGAACCTACGTTTTTCAAAGTCGGTGCATGGGTCGATTTCAGTGTAGTTGGTAGAAAGGTTAAAGAGAATATCCGCAGCAAGTCCAATGCATGCCGTTGTTGTGCAAACAAGGCCGCTAAGGTCAGTAGCCGTGTGGTTGGCGGTTGGGGCCATTGTGGCAGACACAGATCTCCGTAGTCTTTGAATTATCTGATGATGGAGCATTAGTGAACCCTGCCAGTGGACAGAGCACTTGGATCTAAATGAGAAGGACTCACGAGGAAAAAGACGGCCTGAAGGCGAAAGGAAACAAAAAATGACACTCAGGCCGTGAGATACTCAATTGCCTAAAGAATGAGATTTGGCTAGTCCTGTCGACAAGTTCGGCCCTTGAGGTTTGGTGAGTGACTATCACAAACCTGTCCTCCCGGTCAATTTTTTGGTGAACCCTGACGTGGTTTTATAATACAACAGATTAAGGAGGATATGTTTGCAATGAAATCCAGAAGAAAGAAAGGAATGCGTCACAACCTCGCAGGCGTTCCTCTAATCACCACACATTCCCCAGGCTAATACCACGTGCGGAGTGACAGGGAGACTACTACTTGTTACCCGCCTCATAACCAACTTTACTGCAGGTATCCAGCGAATCCTCTAAGACAAAAAAGTAAAATCACCTGGCTCCCAAGCAATGAAGCAGCTAAAGTGAGCCCTGTGGTAAAGCAATAAGCATACCACCTGCTGAACTGCTGAATGCTTGGGTGTGAACAGATGTCTTAGCCCGTATTGCACAATTCCCACAACCTTTGACTTGGCTTGATTTCTCAGGCATTATTAGCAGTATAGTATGACAGCTTTAGTAATACCTGAGAAATTGAAGAATTTTCTAAGTAGTGGCGCAGTCAAAGATACATGCACAGAAATCAAACAACACAGAGAAGCATTGGCTAACTAGAGCCCATTACTACAACTCATCTCTGGGTGAATGCCTAAGTCATTCGTAAGGCCCAGTGTTTCGATTTCACTGGTTTCGAGAAACTTTTGAGAACGTCTTTGTAGCTTGTTTCGAGGAGTTCTCTTAGGCATGTCCATCTAAACGAGCTCACCAGTTGGTAGTAGTGATAGTCGCGGCTGGGTAATATTCAGCCGCACGCGCCTAGATAATAACTGAGTAATAGAACCAAGAGAGTAGTTCATAACTACCTGAGTTGGTATCCGCATACCTAGCTGAGAAGAAGTTAACCCTTGTATAGACTTTGCATGGCTATCTGTATGTCATTCATAGTGGTAGGACCACCGAGAGAAGGAGGCCGTGCTACGATGGATATGGGGTACTTTCGCGTGACATTATTTGGTGTCACTGTATTCAAGAATAATATTCAAAGACTATAGCGCTGGTGGTGGACGACTTGGGAAGATTCCTCCAGGTCAACTAGGTATCGGCCAACCCAAGGTTTTGTCAGGCATGTAGGAATCCGTCAATCGCCAATCACGGGAACCAGTGGTTGGGCTCCCAGTCCACCAAATCAGCACTAATGTTCTTCAAAGCCGCCACGCCAAGGTCAACAGCATCCCCAGCAATTTCAGTATTCATGATGCTGATGACCTTTTCAACACCCTCCTGGCCGAAGGCGTTAGCATACATAAAGGGCCGTTCCAGGCCGACAGCCCAGACCCCCAAAACCAGCAGCCGCACGGCATCACTACCGTAACGCACGCCACCATCGGCATAAACCTCGATCTGTTGGAAAAGTTTAGGGTCCTCATTATACAACTCGATAGCTACCTCGAGTGCCGATGGCGAGCCATCGAGGTTGCGTCCGCCGTGGTTGGAGAGGATGATGGCCAGGACCTGATGCTGAATAGCAGCCTTTGCATCGGCAGCCGTCTGGATGCCCTTTAGTATAAGGGGCAGCTCCGTCATGCCGCGGAACGTGTCCAAGTCGGCCCAGGTGTTTCGGGTGAACATGCTGTTGCTGTAGAGAAGTCATGTTAGTGTCTCCCAAGACTAATCGTATTCATAGGGGAAACATACGCGGAGCCGACGTCGAAGCGAGCGGCGCGCTGCCGACTGGCACCACCGGGACTGTCGATAGACCAGACGACGGCTTTTTACCCTGCCTCTCCAGCACGGGTGAACATGCTTTGCGCCTGGGTATCGTTGTTGTTAAGATACAGCTAAGCAAAGAGGACTTGGCCTTCAGCAGCATTCTCGGCAATCGTCTCCATGGAGAGACTCGAATATCCCGAGGGCTTTATGTTGACGTTAGCGAAAGCACTATCATAAGAATTAAAATGATGAGTACTGACGATGTAGAGAATATTCCCGGTACCAGTGCCCTTGAGTAGATTTATCTCAGCATCTGGATGGGCATAATCGGCACGGGCACATGGGCTAATGAAGGAAGGCGAAGAGAAGTTATATCCAAGAATGGACGTTCTGAATCCAAGTTATTCATGTTCTTCAGTGCTGACGGGATGGGTCTTGGGGAAGAAGGTGAAAAAAACTCACGACAAGCTAGACTGAATATCAGTGATATCGTTCATGACGCTCGGCTTGAAATGATAACGGTTGTAAACCTCAAGATTGTTGCGATACGACCACTCGCCACCGGCTCCATTACGGTAATAAGTATAGTTGGCGGTGCGTAGATAGTTTCTGGCGACCCTATCAAAGTCGTTCAGGGCGACGACATCACCGAGGTTGGGCAGCGTGCCGGCGGCTAAGTTGCCGAGCGAATCCTCAATACTGGTGTCAGGCTCGTTTGAGGAAGGCCGGGCCGCCATGGCAGCCGAAACGAATGCGGCAGTCAACAAATGAAAGAGCATGGTGCTTCAGATAAATATATAAATGAGAGAATCGAATGTGCCGAGTTGGCCCTTCTGGAAAGAATTGAGAGCGAGATCCAGAGATGCCGATGAGAAATCAAGTCATCCACGTCTAGATATCGCATCTTTACTTAACCATATATACAGTACCCATTATGGTCTCCATCCAGCTTCAGTTTCGCACGTGATCGACCCCTTGTTGTCTCTGTATCTTGAGGGTCCTATCATCGCCTCCTTTATTCCGTGTCATCGTGTCCTACAACGAAATAGCTACGGAGATTTAGCTTTTTCAGTTCTACACTCGAAGGGCAAAAGATAGAAATTGGGATGTATACGCAATGCCTGCGAGTAAGTGGAGAGCAGGGTTTCTATCGGAATAGCAGCACTAGCCCATCTGGATCAATGATATCGTGATTAATCAAAAAGGAGGGAGGGAAAACTAGGGGTTCCAAATATCAGTTTGCGTGGCGTCTCCTCACCATCATGCCTCCACCACTCGGGGGCAAAGGAACGGACAATCGTTAGGTCAATGGACATTTCCGCCAGCATGATTCTTACCTAATCTCAATGAGACTTTTACTTTATAACAATAAATCATGAAAAATGAAAGACCTCAATTATCCCTATTTTGTGTAGGTTCTCTCTTTTTTAGTATTCGTTGAGCGTGATGCTGGAATGACTTTTGTGTTATGACTACGGGGAAATCTGGCTGTCTTTCTAATCCCCGAGTTGCCTCCTTCCGTACTGTGTAGCTGTCTCGTGAGTTCTTACATATGATTCGCAATATTTAGCGTGAGGGCTGTGCCAGTGCAGGGTACTCAAGGCCGCGCGTCGTGACAGTTGTCCACAGGTAGAACGTTGGTTTGTGGGAACCAGCGACGTATTCGGCTTGGACCCTAATGCGAGACGTAGTACTCAGGTACCAATCTAAATCCACCAAGAAACCCTGGTTCCGAGCGAGGTTCAAGCCAGACTTGCTCAGCGAACTGCCATTCAGCACCGATCTGGACATTATTCTGGGTATCTATGCAACCCTGGCGCTGCCACTTCAACCGTATGGGAAGACTGACTTGGGTGGGTTGTTTAAGACAAATCATTGGGCCGCCGCTGTACCTGAATAATGCACTGAGCATGCATCATTGGACGTTTTCGATTCGCGCCAGGGGGAATGGCGATGTATAGTGGAAACTTGGCGTAAATGCAATTGGGGATGGATATTTCCCCAACTTCTGGCCGAGTCTTGTACATTTTCACCCCGTAATGAAGTTGAAGACCGATACTATCATGCTTGGTGCTTTTGACATCTAGACTGACTAGAGGCCCTTTTCGGGTCAAAGCTTGTGTGTGCTGTAAGTCGCTTCATGCTTCACCCACTGAAAAATAGCTGAATTGATAAGACGGAAGTTGCTGCTCGTAGCAGTATTCACTTAGCATATTGCCGGTTGCCATATTCAGACACGGTGTAATCAGATTGACTGCTATATCGCCTCTCCCACGAGAAAAGTTCCATAATGGGTTTTAAGCCTAGGAGATGGGCACTCATAACAAAGAAAACTTTAACTTTGCAGAAGAGAGGAGAAAATTACGAGTGATTGTTGATGGCTGCTGTCCAGAGCTAGCTGACGAAATTGTGGAAATATAGACAAGATTCACGGCCTACCTCAGGTGCAACCGAAGCTTATTGATTCGAGACATTGATCTTTTCGAGGGAACTCAGATTGCCTCCTAAGCTCAACTTCGAATATATGACAAAGAAGGAGGCCAGCATTGACTAGGATATCATCAAAGTATGGATTTCAATCAGAGGGACTTTGGGTTGTCCTCAGCAACAATTGCGTTTCTCAATCTTGATGTTTATGCGTCTGAATTCGATTGCTGTCTCCTATTCCTTCTCCTTTCTAATATGGTACATTGAAGAATTGTTGCTTACAGCAAACGCGCCTGCAAATGCCCAAAGTGCTCTTCCTCGTTGAGTTCGAGAGCATTCTCTAGAATAAGGTGGGTGAATGTTTCAATGGTAGGCTAGTGAGTTTGGGTCCTAGTCGGACGAAGAATGGACACACATGAAACACATCAACCAAAGATCCGAGAGAATAGGGGTTGCTGTTACAAGGCAAGAATTGTCGCTACAAAGTAAATGATCTTGCTCACATCCTTTGACATGCATTGCCAAATGCCACTCATCATCTACGACCAAGGGCCGCATATGAGAGAAGTCCTCCGTGCCAGATATCCGTCGTTGAGATGTTTTAATCTATCTCGGAAGGATTCCATGTCGGTGACCAGCCGCGCCAATTCGTGGCGCGGAACTGTGTTCTTGTAAAGCTCAGTCAGAAGTATGCAGCCCCAAATCACGAGACGATGTAAATACTCCATGATTTGATCGAAAAGACTACTGTTGGGAATTTGGTAACTTTGGGCAGTGCTGAAGACAGGACAAAGCCTTGGGAAGACGGCTTCGTAGCAAGTTCTGCACCCATCAATCCATCCCAGTAGACTTCGTACTGTTGTCTCCCATCTGCAACTCTCAGTTTGGTCCAGCTTTGTTTCAGCAAGGATATTGACATGTTCAAACACCTTGTTCAAATTTGTCTCTTGAGAATTGTACGCCGCCCAGAATGCTACCCACGGATTTGGTGAGTTGATTGGCGTAAGGTTTTGCCCGGGATTTTGCACTGAAGACCAAGTGGCACGGTCTCTGTTGTCATGGCTATGAAAGACTTCATATTCAGGCTGGCTTCGGCTCTGCATTCGGATGGCCGTTGAAGATAATGAATTGGGCTGGTCTATGTACTAGTCAGTTGTTGTGTGCACGGCGCAATGCTGGTGGGTTCGACGAACCTAGGGTTTGGCCGGGCTTTTTTTGCAAGTTGGACTTGGGGTATAGCGGCAAAGGAAGACCCATAGCGATTAGCTAATGTGGGATGTAACAATGAGAATAGAAGATGGACGCAAAGTCTATTTGGTAGGCATGTATCTTGCGATGCTGCTGACTGGTCTGTTGTTCACATATAACAAAACAAGTCTGACAACACACGCTCGTAGCGTGGAGCTAACCGTGCACGTGCTTATGTCGCTGTTGAGTGTTCAAACACGTGAACTATGGCCTCCCTTCTAAAGTCTTCAACAGGGCATTACCATGTGGGGATAGTTGATGGCTGACAAGCGTGTGAGTAATGATGGCCCAAGCCAAGTTTGGCCGAGATAAGAACCATCACATTGGCTGGAGAGAGATTAGGGAAGGCTATCGCATCATAAATGGATCCAGAAGAATCGAGCTAGTCATCAACCCAATTAACAGCTACCCGCGTATCCGTACTCGCAATAACGGATTCGGCTGACAATTCCCATTCTCATGCATGCGTGCCATTATTGCTCCTTTCACTCATCAATGATGTGGAAAAGTAGTGCAATTCGGTATCACTCTATTATAGGGGGTTGACTCATTACCCACTTCAGGCGCAATTAAGGATTTGAGAAGCAGGAAAGAGGACACCTGGGCAATCCAGGCCCATGGTAAACGCGGGGACGGGTCTTCCAGCCAAATTGTTGCAGAACGGCCGTGTGGATACGATAGGAAAGTTACTTTCTGTCGTATTTCACTTCACCGAGTGTCTTGCATCTGAATACGAAGTTAAATTGCTTCGTTCACTCCAAGCTGGAAAATTAGGGAACTGCCACACCGGACTATCCAAGTGGGTAAAATCTTCACGTTTTCGGAGTTTTGAAACTTGGATTTTCAAGTTGTGCCCCCTCTCTCCCTCCCTATCTTATCCCCTGTCCGCTCCCCGTACTTTCTTCACTGATTCATGACGCGCCCACTAGGAATCAACTTCGACGATTGAGTTAGGGCCAAAGAGTACGTGTGCACCAGCTCACGAACAAAACCACCCAAAACCGACAAATCAACGGGCCATAGTGAAAACAATCTTTCAAGGAGCCGATAAATGCTACTGGTTTTAATCTCGGTGTGGTCCCAGTTTCATTTTGCACCCGAAATTGCCCACATGGGGTCGATTATGATATTTCCGGTAATCCGATAATGGAGCAACAGCGTTTGTAAAGACAACGAACTTCAAGTACCCTGTACCCGGATCCTTCATAGATTAAAAAGCGTAAAAGAGCGAGAAACAGCGCCTTGCACAATATGGAACTGATTCCTGCGGTGGCCTGAGGCTGTGACCAATCATGCAATGCAGCATGTGGATCAATATGGCTGAATGGCGAACTAGAATGGGCTAGGTTGTTAGTTGTAGCTGCAGAACGCGATGGCAGTAGCAGTGGCACGGAGCATCCGGCGTTAGAGTCCAGTGGGGGTTCCCTTCCGCAGGCAACCATTGTAGACCGGTGCCTGCACACGGCAGCTCCATTCATAGCGCTACAGGGGTTTTCTTGCATCAAATTTGTACAGACGCGGCTCATGTGCAGTCGCTGCAAGGCCGACAGTGACAAAGCCGACTCCAGGTGGTGACGAAGTCTTGCCCACAATCAAGGCGGCAATGCGTTCCTTTGTTGCCGACAGAAGTCGTTTGGTAAATAGCGGTCTAGATCTGAGACTAGATAGACCAGTGATGGATATGAGCGGCGAGATGCGTTCAGAGGGGCTTAGCGTGCTGCAGGGACTAGGTGGATGCGATTCCGCGAGCTATGAACACTGCAAATGAAATGCGGACGATGAAGAGACAGATTTTACTGTATTATCCTGTAGATATTTTCCTCCACCCCCCCACCTTGATTTATAGCCATTTCAAGCTGTTCGGCCCGTGCGGTGGATCCGGATTTGCCCCGTGGTCTGCAGCCTTGGTCCTCGCCTTTGCGATTTTCTATGAAGGCAATGACGAGTCTTCACAGCTGAAGCAAATGTCCTCCCATGAATGTGGGGAAATTTACAGTAATTACTTTGGATAAGCTACGAGCTCGAGTGAAGGACACAACCGTTTTGCTGGCATTCTGCATTG